GATTTTCTCTCATATTTCCTTCAATTTTGGCTACTCCTACTTTACCTCGGATATCCTAATTCCCAATCTTATCCTTTCTCTCGTGTGCCCATACATCCCACGAAGCATCCTCATCTCCGCTACACCCATTTTGTGTACGTTGATGCTTCACCGCCCAACATTCTGTGCCATACAACATCGCTGGCCTTATTGCCGTCCTATAAAATTTTCCCTTGAGCTTTAGTGGCCTACGACGGTCACACAACACGCCGGATGCACTCTTACACTTCATCCATCCAGCTTGTATTCTATGGTTGAGATCTCCATCTAATTCTCCGTTCTCTTGCAAGATAGATCCTAGGTAGCGAAAACGGTCACTTTTTGTGATCTTCGCTAGATTGCTCCGGTCATTAGTGTGGATAAGTATATAAATGGATAGAGATAGGAAAGCAAACACAAGATGTACGTGGTTCACCCAGATTGGCTACGTCCACGGAATAGAGGAGTTCTCATTAATTGTGAAGGGTTTACACAAGTACATAGGTTCAAGCTCTCCTTTAGTGAGTACAAGTGAATGATTTAGTACAAATGACATTAGGAAATATTGTGGGAGAATGATCTCGTAGCCACGAAACTTCTAAGTACCGGAGTATGGTATCGTCTTGACTTGCCTTTATCTGTCTCATAGGTAGATGTGGCATCTTCTCTGGAAGTACTCTTCCTCCATCCAGGGGTGGTATCTGTAACTGGTGGAGATGCACAAGGTAATGTATCAATTTCACTTGAAGCTTACTTGTAGTTTCATGCTTGGTCAAGCGAGATACAAACCATGTAGTAGGAGTCCCCCAAGTCGCCGAGCTGGGGGATCTGCTGAAAGAGGTGACAGACAAGGTAAGCAATCAGAGCTCCGGCTGATTGTTCACATTCTCCCTATCTTGCAAGCAGCATGAAGGATAAAGTGAAGAAAAATGAGGAGAGATGATATGGGATACTTTTGCTTTTGAAGAAGTAACTTTCCACAGGCTTATTCTTGAACTGGGCTGGAGGGTTTTCTGGTTTCCTCCAGAGTATAAGGCCGACTGAAGAATTTGAGGGTCAAAACAAGTCCATCAAATCTAGAGTACGTTCGACCCTGCTGATATGGGATACTTTTGCTTTTGATAGAGAGTAGTGGATGTATCGGCACGTGTGCTGTTACGCTTGTCTCCACATGCTTCCTTGTATCCTTCTCACTTGCCCTATCTGTTCCTCAGGCAAATGCGGTATCTTCCCTGGAAGCATAAGATGTTGAAGATGAGTACTCGAGAGCAATGCCAGGTAAGTAATCAGGTAAGGGGTTCCAGGCAGTCAGTTCCTGGCTGGAAGCTTGATTCCAAGTGCTGACTGATTGCTCTCTTTCTCCTTGTCTTGCAGGTAAGAACAAGGCCAAAGGAAAAGACAGGGAAAAAAGCATGATATGGGATACTCTTGCTTTTAACCCTGATGATATGAGATATTCTTGCTCTAGTATAGCTTGTTTACAGAGGTATTATCGGGGGGAAAGAAAGCTGAATATTTCGAAAGGCTTTGTTGGGAGTGCCCTCTCAGATAAGAGAAAGGGTTGAGCATTTTTGCAGGTCTGCCTGTCCGTTAGGGATGGAAGTCGACATATATAGGAGTCTCCCTAACATCAAGTAATAATGCTATTCCTTTACCCTGCTTGGTTATAGCACGGTAGTGGGAGCTGCCAGCTTCACATGTTTTAACTCTGTCAGAGCACTTTGAAAAAGTGGTTTGTGGTATCTGGAAAGCTGATGTTGCGTGTGAAGATTACAAACCTGTCGGGGGTCTGGCTCTCGATATTCGGAGAACGATGCCTCTTCGATTTTTGAGAAAGCAATCCTGCTGGGGGTCTGGCTCTCGAGATTCGGAGAGCGGTGTCTCTTCGATTTTTGAGAAAGTAATTATGTTGGGAGTCTGGCTCTCGAGATTCGGAGGGCCGTGCCTCTTCGATTTTGGAGCAAGCAATCTTGTTGGGAGTGTTTTCTCGAATGTGAGTAAAGGTTGGGCATATTTGCTAGTCTACCTTGCCACGAAGCACAGAGGTTGACACACAGGGACTTTCCAATTATCCAGCAGTGGTACTGTTCCTTTACCCTCTCTTCGATTTTTGAGAAAGTAATCATGTTGGGAGTCTGGCTCTCGAGATTCGGAGGGCGGTGCCTCTTCGATTTTGGAGCAAGCAATCTTGTTAGGAGTGTTTTCTCGAATGTGAGTAAAGGTTGGGCATGTTTGCTAGTCTATCTTGCCACGAAGCACAAAGGTTGACATACCAGGACTTTCCAATTATCCAGCAGTGGTACTGTTCCTTTACCCTCTCTTCGATTTTTGAGAAAGTAATCATGTTGGGAGTCTGGCTCTCGAGATTCGGAGGGCGGTGCCTCTTCGATTTTGGAGCAAGCAATCTTGTTAGGAGTGTTTTCTCGAATGTGAGTAAAGGTTGGGCATGTTTGCTAGTCTACCTTGCCACGAAGCACAGAGGTTGACACACCGGGACTTTCCAATTATCCAGCGGTGGTACTGTTCCTTTACCCTTGTGGGTAATAATATGGTAGCTAGACCTTCAAAATTTATGTGTCTAAACTTTGTTAGTGTTGTTTCTTTGCAATTCTTTTACCCTTCTTGGTCAGAGCGATGTAGTGGGAGCTGCAAGCTTCACGTGTCTCAACTTTGTCAGAGAACTTTGGCAAAGTTATCTGTGGTACCCATGAGCTACTGTTGCGTGTGGGAAGTGGGTGATTGAACAGTACGATTCATCTGCTTTCTACTTCGCCAGAAATCTTCGACAGAATGCCCATAATTTCCGCAAAGCTGAGTGTGCGTGTGACAGGTACTGACAAGGCTGGAAAAGTAGGTGCCTCTTCGATTTCTGAAATCGGCCCTCGTGGTCTCTGATCAGCCCAGCTTTTGAGAAAGCAAGCCTCTTCGATTTCTGAGATCGGCCTTTGTGGTCTTTGAGCAGCCCAGCTTTTGAGAAAGCAAACACCTCTTCGATTTCTGAGATCGACCCTCGTGGTCTCTGAGCAGCCCAACTTTTGAGAAAGCAAACGCCTCTTCGATTTCTGAAGCTTCGTCGAGTGCAGATTTTTATAGGGGCTGACATTAAGTTCCAAAGCACACTTGAATATCCACCAGTAGAAGCTCCATTCTTGCACTTCTAAGATCTTGATTTGTCCGACCCCTCCTTTGAAAATGTCTGGCCCCTCCGATCGTCGTTTTGACTTGAACCTTGTTGAAGAGGCAGCCCCGCCTTCTCCAGACAACATATGGTGCCCATCCTTCGTCTCCCCTACTGGTCCTCTTACCGTTGGGGATTCTATGATGAAGAATGATATGACCGCTGCGGTAGTGGCCAGGAACCTTCTCACTCCTAAAGATAACAGACTACTTTCCAAACGGTCTGATGAGTTGTCTGTTAAGGATTCTCTGGCTCTCAGTGTTCAGTGTGCAGGTTCTGTGTCTAATATGGCCCAACGCCTATTTGCTCGAACCCGCCAAGTTGAATCATTGGCGGCTGAAGTGATGAGTCTCAAACAGGAGATTAGAGGGCTCAAGCATGAGAATAAACAGTTGCACCGGCTCGCACATGACTATGCTACAAACATGAAGATGAAGCTTGACCAGATGAAGGAATCTGATGGTCAGGTTTTACTTGATCATCAGAGATTTGTGGGTTTGTTCCAAAGGCATTTATTGCCTTCGTCTTCTGGGGCTGTACCGCGTAATGAAGCTCCAAATGATCAATCTCTGATGCCTCCTCCTTCTAGGGTTTTGTCCAGTACTGAGGCTCCGAATGATCCCCCTCCGGTGCCTTCTCTTTCTGGGGCTCTACCGACTGCTGAGACTTCTCCTAAGCAACCTTTGTGAAGGCTCCCTCTTGTTTGTTTATTTTGACTCAAGTATATGTACATATTTGTAACTTATCGGGGATATCAATAAATAAGTTTTCCTTCATTTCAACTTATTGTGTTAAATACACCAAAGCCTTCTTCGCTAAGTTCTTTGAATTTTCTTTTGTTGAAGCTTGTATGTTGAAGCTTTGTGAGTGGAGCATATAGGTTGAGGTAGTGTTCCCTTAATTTCCCGAGTGAGGAAAAACTTCTCGGTTGGAGACTTGGAAAATCCAAGTCACTGAGTGGGATCGGCTATATGAATCTTAGAACGCCATTGTGTTCTGTCCTGTGTCATGTCCTCCGTTAGATTCAAGTACTCTAAGTCTTTTCTTAGGGTCTCTTCCAAAGTTTTCCTAGGTCTTCCTCTGCCCCTTCGGCCCTGAACCTCTGTCCCATAGTCGCATCTTCTAATCGGAGCGTCAGTAGGCCTTCTTTGCACATGTCCAAACCACCGTAACCGATTTTCTCTCATCTTTCCTTCAATTTCGGCTACTCCTACTTTACCCCGGATATCCTCATTCCTAATCTTATCCTTTCTCGTGTGCCCACACATCCAACGAAGCATCCTCATCTCCGCTACACCCATTTTGTGTACGTGTTGATGCTTCACCGCCCAACATTCTGTGCCATACAGCATCGCCGGCCTTATTGCCGTCCTATAAAATTTTCCCTTGAGCTTCAGTGGCATACGGCGGTCACACAACACGCCGGATGCACTCTTCCACTTCATCCATCCAGCTTGTATTCTATGGTTGAGATCTCCATCTAATTCTCCGTTCTTTTGCAAGATAGATCCTAGGTAACGAAACGGTCGCTCTTTGGTATTTCTTGATCTCCGATCCTCACCCCTAACTAAGGTCACTTTTATACTTTTGCTTTTAAACGGAATTTAAAAAATGATTGACCATCAAGTACTTTGTCAAAGTATTTGGTCTAGAAAGCATCATGTTCGATGATCTTACTACTAAATTCATTTTGTAATGATTCAATTTCATGTTCGATGATGGTAATTTTTGTTGGTTTTCTATTCAGGTTGAACCAAAAACTCTCCAAGATGCCAATTTTCTTAAAGGCAGTGTTAAGGTAAATTTTAATTTCCATTATTCCACATGGTATACATTCTGAAAACATCTTTGACAAAATTTATGATCTAGGAAGCCTCTCAATAGCTTTTGGCATTTGATTCAACAGGTAATGCACTGTTTCCTCCCTAGATTTCTCTGTTTCGTCTACTATATCCACCAGCCAAAAAGCACAAAAGCAGTTCCACTGAACACACACACACTCACACACACACCCCCACAACTGACCACCCCACCTCCATTTCAGCTCAGCTCAGCTCAGTTCCGGGTGTCCAAATCAATCAGTTTTCCAACCCATCCTTCTGAAAGCCATGCCTGCTTGCTAAGCTTCACAATCCCGAACCCGGAAATCCTTTCAATTTCTCAGTAAAACTATATTCGATGGCTTGAATGTCTTTAGGTACTTTTCTGTTTCTTTTGGTTCCTTTTTTTTTTTTTTTTTGTTGCTTAAATTCATGTGATTATCTGCTGTTTATTTTAGCATGGATTTTACTATCACTCTTACTTTCAGAGTGCATCTCAATATTCTTTGATCTTCATTGCTTTTAGCTTTACCTTCTGACTAGCCTTGCTATATTCAATCAGTGATAAAATATATATGTATATAAGTGGTAATATGTTTGTGTGTGTGTGTGTGTGTGGATTGCACAGATGCTCAGACATGCCACCCATGCCTAACATTAGAAAAGGTTTGTTCTCCTTAGTTGGTAATAGAATTTGGCATCTTTCAGTGCACGATGAAGGTATATTGTCAATAATAAAGTTGGGATTGTTATTATGAGAATTTGTTTAGGAATTGAGAGATTGAATTGCTGTTTCGGAATTTGGAAAATTTCTGTCTTTTGTGTGATCATTTTGGTTTAGGAATAGATAGATTGTTTTCTTTGATGCATAATATTGAATTTGGATGGAATTGATTAAATTTTGTGTTGTTTTAGTCCGTTGTGTATATTAAGTCCTTAGTCAAAATTAGGGACTGTTTTGTATAATTTTCTACATTCGTGATTGTTCGACATGATAAAAAATAGGGTTTTTTTGGTTTGCTGATTTTCATGTGCTCTGTATTCATGATTGTTTATTTTGTAAAGGAAATGCGGGATATGATAGAGATGCAAGCAAATTTCTAATCTTTGTCTATCCGGTTTTCACTTTGTTCAATTTGATCTGATTTATCCTTCTTTGCGTTGCTTTTGAGGAAACCAAATTAAATTTGCCCTTCGATCGTTGTATGTCATGCTTATGTTCTCCTTTATTGGGAGACTGATTTACTGTTTAAAATTGGTTACATTCTCTTGTAGTTGCCCTTTCTGTTGGTTCTGAAAAAGCAAACTGACATGTGGATTTCTGTCTTTCTATATCATGCTTATGTTGAAATGTTATACCTGCCAAAACCATATGTTGAAATGTTGGATTGGTAAATGTTTTTTGTTGTTCTGTTTTTAGGACTTCATTAACCATTTAGAAGCGGAGCCGACGATGCGAGAGCAGAAGGGGAGCAAGCATGTGAGGTAATTTTTTATATTGAATTAAGTGGTTCTGAATTCAGTCAAACATTTGTGTGCAAGTTTGCAGTGATATTATTGTAACATCAATCCTAAAATGTATTGTGTTAAAAAATGAGTGATAGCATTCAATTCGGGAGAATTGGTTGCTGTTTTGATAAATTGTAAAATTTATTTTGCTTGGTCTGAAAGTACGTCCGATTGCTTGCCTTCCCATAGATGGGTAGAGCTGGACATCCAGAAGAATTTGTTTGCATAGGAATTTTTTTTTTCTTTTCGCTATAATTTGTTTTGTTAAGGGTGATGATAAAGATTTATCAATATTGTTTGTTCAGAGTTAGGTGGAAATTGGAAGGGAGTAAATTGTGATCGTTTCTGCAGCATTTGATAAAATTGGGAAATAAGATTGGGGAAATAATGTTAACGGTTTGTAGATGCTTAGGAGACTGTCTGGGGCTGCTTAAATTTTATATATTCAGTTGCATAGAGCCGACATGACATGCACAACGATGGTCAGATTGCCACCCTTAGTTGATGGTATTATCTTTACAACATATTCAAATTGAGGATTTAGAAAATCTAATAATAAAACTGAAATATATGTTCCATGCTTTTTGTTTTCATTTTGGGTTAAAAGGTTGGAGATTTGGATTGGGATTTACCTTTATTAACCTATAATATTGTGCTCAACACACCATCTTGGGAGTCTTAACATGCTTGTTCTTCTATTTCACAGATTCGAAATGTGTTTAGTATCTCATTTAATAGGTGTACCTTTGCACATTTATCTCAAATTTAATACGATTTGGTCCTCCAATTTCTCTGAATTGCCAACGGATTTACTTTCTTTGGAAATTTCAGGAACTCTGGTTGTGGGAGGAAGAAGCTGGTTCCTTACTATTTTTAGGTATACGATTATGTGCCCTGATTGCATGTTTATTTATCTTTGCAAAGCTTTCGTACTTGGATTTTAAATGTGTTTGGTTTGTGAAAAATAAACGAGAAAACTAATCATGGGGACATTCTTATTCAACTTAAATGTGTTTTATTCATCCGATTACGCCTGAAACAGCTGGTTCCCGCAGCAACGCTCGGGCGTATTTTCTAGTTATAACTAAGATTAGGGTAAAAATATAGAATAATATCGACTCATCACCTATCGATTGAAATCTTTGCTTCATAAATTGGATGTGTCCTTTTTTCTCTTTGGTTGAAATTTGACGTTCTTTGAATTCAATTTTTTTATTTTATTATTCAATTGCATTGATGAATGTTAATAGAATTCAATTATATCTATCGGTCATCTTGCTTGAATATTATGGCTTAATTTTCTGTTTCTTAGTTTCAAGGTTGGTTGGTTGGTTTGTTCCATTTTTTTTAAAGAAACCTTGACTGCATAAGAGAAATTATATAGAATTAGAAAAAGAAGTTGCACTTGTTAAGGGGACATAAAGTTTAGCTCATAATATAAGAAGAAATAATAAAGTAAAAAATACAATAAAAGAGCGGGGAATATAAACTTGACTCTTAAGAAAACAAATAAAAATACAAGAAAATAGGAACGATGCGGTCCCCCGGATGTTCCTCAGGGTTCTGCTGCAGGGGCGTTTTTGGGGGGAGGGGGTGTGGGGGTAGGTCAAGCCTTATTTGGAGTTTCTGAGGTTTATTTTTTTTTTGGGGGGGGGGGGGGAGGGGTCGTGGATATGCAATTGCGGTTTGATTTGGAGTTTCTAGAGGGGTGGGTCTGGGGGGGGGGGGGGGAGGGTGGGGGAAGGGTCGGTGGATATGCAATTGCGGTTGATTTGGAGTTTCTAGAGGGGTGGGGTCTGCCACCACGATTGCTGGTGGATATGCAATTGCGGTTGATTTGGAGTTTCTAGAAGGGTGGGGTCTGCCACCACGATTGCTGATTGGGATCAGGTGGAGATGGCGGGCTATTGAATGGTCTTCTTAGGCTGCGGCGGATGGGCACCACTTTGGAGCTTAAAATATCACTTTGACATTCAAAGCAACCTTGTTCAATTATATGAGAAAATCAAAAGAAGCAATAAATTAGTTACCAAATAATAAAATTGGTAAAAACTAAGTCGATATAAGTAGCTAATACTAATGCTAATGTTTGGAGATCTCATAAAAAGAAGATAATTATTAGTTATACCATGAGGAAGTAGTCCACAAGTTGCTTGGAAATCCCCCATCAGAAGCAACACTATTGCTGTAATTGCCGCCAGCTTTGCTGAAGAACCATTCATCTTCGGAAGCAGAAACAATAACCTCGAAAATCCTTTCACCACAACTTGGAGATGAATGATAGTGCAAAGGGAAAGCAAGATTTATAGACCGTAACTTGCAGGGGTTTGGACAATAATTATATGCTTCTGTTTCTTTCTGTTTTTTTGGGTCAATATATGCTTATGTTTCTACTTGGACTATCAAAGGGAGGACCCTTGAGTCGTTCGCTGATGTAGAATAAATGGCAGAATGAACCAAAGAGGAAATTTGAATATTTGAGATTCGATTTGGGCCCGTAATAAATTTCCAGAAAGAAAATGATGCCACAAGTCCAACACACTACTTAGTTTTTTATGTATGATGGATTTTGGCCGTCCGGGGTAATTTCAGCCTCCAAAATAGCGTTTAAAGTTTCGAAATAAAAATCGGACTCTTTATTTGTAGTCCGATTAATGTTTAACTAATGTTGTTGTAATTATTAGAAGTCATTTGAGTTGTTCCAAACATTTGTAATCTTTATTTAAGTCATCTGGATGTATCAATGACAATCATTCAAGAATTAATCAAACAAAAACCCTTTGGGATTTCATTCAATTTTCTGATGGATTTCTAGATTTTGTTGTGCAATGGATTACGTTGATAACCCTTACATCGCTTTATTCTGCGTCATCCACTCTTTTCATTTATTCTCTACCATACAAGAGATTATTCATTTGTTTATTGAAAATAGTGTAATTTTAAACACATGACAATTTTTTATTAAACTTTAACGTCATTGAAATTAAAACTTGATTACAAATTAGAATTTCTATATACCATACACCTCAATTTAGTACAATCACCCATGTGTAGTGTGACAAGTAACTCGTCACAAGTCGCGTAAGACTCCTCAATACGAGAGTCCTTTTTTTACCAATATGTCATTTGCATAATTTTTTCTTGGTTAATTATCTACGAATAAAGTCTTTTCTAAGTTAATTATCTGCGAGAATAAAGTGAGAAAAAAAACAAAGAAATTAGAAACTTTTTATGACGGTTGATCATATGTAGGGCTCCATTTTGCGATCGCTTCGGCCCCCAAATTTCAATCCCCCAGCGGCGGTGCCGGAACAAATTGCTTCCTTAATTTATTCTTTATGGGTGAAGGTGGAGATGAATGATAGTGCAAAGGGTAAGCAAGATTTATAGACTTTGATTTGACTTTGATCTGCCTATGAACCTTGGTTCACACTCTACGTATTTTTGTTTTAAGTTTTCTCAAGTCACCCTAACTTATTTGCAGGGGTTTGGATTAGAGTTTCTAATTGGACTTTCAAAAGGTTGACAAGTCTTTTACCGTGGAATCGTGGATAATGGGTTCCTGCTCTTATGATCATTTTCTTCCATTGTGGAATCGTGGATAATGGGTTCCAGCTCTTACGAACATTTTCATCAGGAAAATTTTATTTGAATTCATATAATCTCTCTTTCCACATAACTTTTTAATTAAGCTATCAATATATTTTTAAACCCAAATTTACTACATAAACTACCCTCACAAACCCAATTCAATATATAAATTTATCTTTACACCTATATTACTAACTTGTTGAATTTGTGATAACTTTTTATCTTGCAAAATAACCAAATCAATATGATTTAGATTCTGATTTATGCATTCCTTAATTTTAGTTTTTACTGAGTTTGATTTCGAGACTTAAAGGTCATAGGCTACTTGCAGTTTTTCTTTAATCTTGTTATATTTTGCATTTGTTAGAAAGTCATCAGTTGTTATTTTGTTTGACAGGTTTATATATACATGTTTAGATATGGTAATTGATGTCCGCCTCAGCACCCTTTACGGTCATATTGTTGCCAATTCCATCAGCAATTTTACTCTCTTCATTGTATCCTTTTTGGTAATTACAGCTTTTCTATTGACATTCGGCTTTAAATCTTTGTTACATTGTTCGAAAAAAACTTGGCCAGTGATTTTCACGCTCGATTGAATCTCTTGCACTCATTCCTTTGAGTGCAAACACACATAAAATGAGTGTCCAAAATCGCTATCCAAAAGTTTATGTATTTTTCCTTTGAATATCCTCCACTTGCACTGTTGCTTGCGGGCTGAAGACGTTACCTGAAGGTTTGCAGTTTCTCACTACACTTGAGCAGTTAGACTTGCTGCCTTTGATGAATGATCATGCAGAACGATTGACACCTGATGGGGGAGAGGAAAACTACAAAATTAGGCACATTCCACATATCATTTAGTACCATATCAACGGCGTAACAAATTGCTGCCACCAAGGAATTATAAGGATCTAATAAAGTTTGGAGATCTTCGGATGGAGAGGAGCCAATGCGGGTGAACAGATAATTTTTAAGCTGTCTGATAAATTCAGGATGACAATGCAAAGCTGTAATAGTTAGGGTTGTTTCCATATACAAGTAGTTGGCCCTCAAATATTATGATTGACTCCATACACACTTTTCTTCTTTTGTACACCTCTATACACACTTTCAATTCCAGTAAAACATCACAAAGCAGAATAAAATCCACTGCTACGGACAGTTGCATTTGACAATTCATCGTCTTTATAGCTTAATAATTACAATATTATATCCTTCAGTTTATCATCTTCATATCTTAATAGTTGCCTCTGGCCTTCTTTATGCATCACTAGAGAGCTGCTTATAAGATCAGAAGGTAAAACAAGCAAAACCAATCCGAGATTTTATGGCATTCGATTAACGCAGAGAGTAAGAGCCTTGTCAGATTTCCGTACTCATAAAAAATATTCTGTTCCTAGTACAGATAGCTTGTTTTGTCGCTAATTTTAAATCCTACTACAAGTAATATTTTGATCAAACAAAAATTCACTACCTTTAATCCAGTTGAGCCCGGGCATTTTCATCAGTTTTCCTTCTGTTATGGAATCCCTCAACTTCTTTGCATCATCCCACCATATATATTTGAAAGCATGACTCTGTAAGCACTTTTCTCCAAATTACTTTCAAAGAGCCTTCGGGCTACAATTTCTGCCAGCTCCAAATTTCCACATACATCACAGCACAATAAAAGGGCTCCCCATATGCCGCTGTCCACTGGCTCAGGCAAGGACAAAATTAGATAGTAAGCCTCTTCCAATCTTCCTTCCATCCCAAGAAGTTTCACCATATGAACATAATGCTCCGTTCTAGCTTGAATGCAAAACTCATCTTTCATTCTTCTGAAAATTTCCCGGCCATCTTCGACAAGGCCAGCATGGCAGCATGCACAAGGGAGAGCAGAAAATGTAGACTCATCAGGTTTCAATCCGTTTCTGAGTATCTCATCAAACATTCTAAAGGCCTCGGAGGCAAGTCCATGCAAACCAAGACCCAATATTAAAGAATTGTACGAAACAATATTCTTCTCTGGCATGATCTCAAAAACACGAGTACCCATCCCCAAGAAGCCGCACTTTGAATACATGGCTATAAGTGCAGAGGAAATCATGAGCATGTATCTCACAACCAGGCCCTACATGCGCCATCTGAGAAGCAGCAGCCAACATACTGGCAATCAAAACCGAATTCGGCTTCTTACCTTCCATGTTCAAATTCTTGAAAAAGAACAATGCCTTGTCATAATCTCCCGACTGCGAAAACCCAGTGATCAAAGCAGACCGTGTTACTAAATCTGGCTCGAACAAACCACTAAAAACTCTATGTGAAGAATTCATAGACATACATCTCGAATACATGCTCACAAGTACATTGCTCACATGAGCATTAGAATCTAAATTCCATTTCAAACAAAGACCATGTATTCCCTCTCCAATACTTATCAAGCTCGAATCCGCTAAACCCAAAAGCAACCCAACAATTGTGTATCCATCCGGCACCAGCTCCATGGCTTCTCATCTCACTAAACAGCTGCAAACCTGTATCCCAAAACCCGCCACTTCCATAACCCGAAATCATCGAATTCCATAAAACCAAATCCGGCTGTCGAATCCCATTAAACACCCTGATTGCTTCATCAACAAGGCTGAGTCTTCAGTAAGCTGAAACAAGTGCACTGCTACAAATGGAGTCCAATCCCAACCCTGCAACCATTACTCCACATGCACAAGCTTCAGTCCATCCAAATCAAAACTATCAGCGCAGGCACGTACAATGCAAGCATGAGTGAAGTTATCCGGTTTGATTTCAGTTCTACGCATCTCAGCAAACAGAGAAAATGCATCTTCAAATCCGCGTGCTTGAGCGTGGGCTCGAATGATGGAGTTCCAAAGGTAGACACTCCAGTGGGGACTTTCGTCGAACACTCTTTACGTGCGGAGCGAACTTCTCCGTTGATTGCATAGAATCTGAGTAATCTAGTTGCGTAAAAAGGGTCGTGGGGGAGATGGGTTTTGAGAAACAGAGCATGTAATTGGTTGGTTCTTGATAGCGATTGGTAAACTTTGGAGAGGCAGAGGCACGGCCCCTGCATTCGAAAAATAAGTTTACTTGCAGAGGGCTCCGGCAACTTGCGAATAAGAAGAGGGCTGTGGCCCTACCTTTTCACTTTATAAAATGAAACGGTAGCGTTTCACTCTTCCAATAGTTTTTATGCAGTAATCGATCAAAACAGAATAATGGGAAATAAAAATAGGGCCCAAATTAATGTTCAGCTAAAGTCCAACGGGAAAGGGATCATCTCCTGATCTCTTCCACCAAATTCTTTCTATCAATTAATCTGAATCCTTTAAATTTGATTAAACTGCTACAAATAAGAGTTCATTTTAAAAGTTATAATAATTATAACCGTTTGACCAAATTTCAAGGACTCGAATTGTTTGATGGGGAGGATGTGGTGGAAGGGATCCGAAGAGGATCCCTTTCCAATCCAACGTAAACAAAAATACCTATACGGAGTACAGTAGAATTCCTCGGTAAGGTGATTGGGGAAGGGAAAAGGATATGGCGCTAGATCCTTTTCTTGGGGATTCCGTGATTGGGACCATCCATCATGCAGTCAGAAATTATTTTAGAATTTAAAATTTAAAATTAAATATAAATAGTACCTAACGAAAACTGACTGCACGATATACGATGAACGGTCGCGATCACAGATAATCCCTAGAAAAAGGATTCGGTGAGGATCATTTTCCTTGAAGAAGTACCTCTGAGGATGACCCCATACAATTCTTGCGAGAGCTGGAAAAATATCTATAGATAAAGCACCTTATTCATATAACTGCTTGCCATCTACACTTCACCAGCAATTACAGGTTTAGGAATGTCACTCAGCTTGCACACAACCCGTCCAATTATGTTCAAGAGGAATTGAACATATTGATAGGCTGGTTATTTAGAGCCAGCAACTGGCTGCTAGACTTTGTCCCGCTATTAAAAGTAAATGCTTACTTAAAAATGAATAAACTGTTTGATAATCAATTTTTTTTCCAATTTTCATTTCTTATTTTCATTTTTTAGAAAACTAAAAACTAAAATCTTAATTAGTAACTATTTTCAGTTTTTAGTTTTCAAGAAAAATAAAAACAAAAAACCCAAAAATTAAAAACTGCTTTCTTGAGTTATTAAAATTTGATCTTGAGTTTTCACTTTTTGGTTTTCAGTTTTCATTTTTTGTAAAATTGAAAACTGAAAGTAATAAACAAACAAGATTTCAGTTTTCAAAAATATGAAAACTAAAAATAAAAAAAAAACAAAAAAAACAAAATAATCATCAAACAGCCCTTTAGATTCAACATTTCCTATTTTTCACTCCTCATTTATAATTTTACACCAAATTTCTTATATGACTACTAGAATTATAAAAACCGACCGTATCAATTCATTTACTTTGGCTCTAGTGGCTTTGCAGAGATTAAGACTCCAAAGCCAAACGGAAACACTAATCGTTCACATCCCGGTACTTTATACGTAGGGAAATTTTATCTTCCGATTAATATAAAAATCCATGTGACATTACTCAGTCAAAGTAGCAGAATGCTTGAACGGTGACGGATGTGGTGGTCCGGGAACATTAATAAGGTAGTGCGTTCCTATATATATTTTTGGTGGGTATCGATTGAAATACTTGCAAGAAAACAGGTAATTGTAGTATGAACCATTTGTATTTAAAACTCACACAACTGATATAAATAAATTGTATTTAAAACTTATTCTTAGCTGACTATTTAAAACAAGATTCGAAATTGTGAAAAAATAAAAGAAACAGAAAATAAAAGAATTGAAATTGGTTTTAGTAAAAACTCGGCAGCAAAAAGAAAATAAAAGAATCGAAATAGTTTTGAAGAAAAAATCAATCATCTGCAGTTCTACCAATTACGTATAAGTTGACACATGCAAACCATGAAGGTTATGTTTTTCTAAAAGAAAACTAACGAAAAGTCCTTTTTTTTATTTAGTTTTAATGAAAAATGACAAATAAAGGTGTAGTGAATAATACTTGGGAAATGTAAAAATGTGGTTTTTCGTTAAAAGTGAGCAGTAGTGGGAGTGTTTCGTTAAAACTCATTTTTTCTAATGGATATTCTACTTGTGGCATTCAAGCTAAAACGTATATGAAACACTCAATCTATATGTGATATTCATATTAAGTATGAGCATGCAAGACTCATTAAGCTTTGTGAATAATTTTTTTTTTTAAATCATGCAACACTTACGACGTGGCAATCGTCTTAAGTGAGATTACAATTATTAATCACAATAAACCCTACTCAATTTCAGGATGACATTCCAACAGAAGTTGCATCAAATTACTTGGTTAAACATCCTAATGGTGATCAAGTATTAAGACAAAAAGATAGTTTAAACACGATGATTAATAATTCAAAGCAATATGCCTTAAACAAATTGAAAATAAATTACATATTTATACTAAGACTCGTGGACTCGTCCTAGTAAAAAGAATTAGTTACACATATTTATAATTGAAAAGCAAAAATATTATTAAGAAGAAAGGATAGAAAACACCTTTGTAACAAATCGTCAAAAGCTCCTAAGCCGAGATCTCCAAGTCTAAAAACATTTTTGCCCTAGAAAAAGACCCAACTAAATATATATAGTGTGCACAAATGATCTAAATTAGGTCTCCCAACAAATTTGGAAACCCAAGTAAAATAATAAACTAGGAAATACAATTCTATCCTAACTTGGATAATCTAGGCAGCCAAATATTCAACATGTTTCCTAGTCGAATCCGCTCAAAATCAAGCCTACTAGGTGGAGTTAGAAAGATAAAAATGTCTACATTTTATAAAAAGGACTTTCCTAAAAAAAGGTCATCTTGAATTACTTATGGCCCAAACAAGAACAAAATGTAAAACTGCCAGCACTGCGTGATCAACCTTCTTTTATTCATTACGGTCAAACAGCTGAGAAATAAATTATGAAACTTCGACACAATTATCTTGAAAGACACATGAATCTACTCCAAAAAAATTTCATTTCATCGTTTTTTGCTCAAAATAGATTCACATGTTCTACAATTAAAATATAAAATAAAGTATCAAAATTCTCACAAAATAATAAATAAATTACTTTAATCTAAAGTAAGGATCAAAATTGGCGCGGTACAAATGAACAGTGTTTTGAGATGGATTTTTAGTTATTTATAAAATTGCCAGTTTGCCACTGCCTTTTCTGTTACGGATTGAAAATTTCGATTTATTTACGAAATTGCCACCGCTTCTACCGTGCACGTGTCGACCATCGTAGAAAGGGTTCCGTCGGGCTCAATCAGAGTGGGTTGAGGGCAGTCTGCAGAGTGACAAAGGGTACTCCGGCCTCCACACCAAGGCCTGCATCAGCCCCACCCTCCTCCTCTCCAACATGTATCAGCGCCCCGATATGCTCACCAACCCCGACGCCGACCCCTAGGGCTAAGCCCTCGACCCCCGCAAGATCCAGGACAACTTCGAGGTCCGTCAATTTCTCTCTCTCCCTCTCTCTCCCTCTCTCTCTCTCTCTCTCTCTTGAAAATACTTCTCGGGAAAATACTTCAATTTTCTGGTAATCTTCTCCCCTTTCTGTAAATTATGAATTTTATTGTCTTCTTTATATAAATTGATTCATACACAACACGCTGCATGTTTGAAATTCCAATAACCTTCTAAAGAGGATTTTTATGTTCATTGAAACTGCAGTTCATATAATGTAGGAGGATAGTTTGATATAGCAGTGCTCATGGATCTCGCTGAAGAGGTGAAGAAGGAACTTGAAGATCCTCATGGTAGGTAAGGCAATATAGTCCTGTCCTTGTGTTTTGATTTCTCTTAAGCCACCAGAAAACATCAATTTGGCAGCTAGCCGCATGGATGTATTCCTTATCTTCTTCTTACCCGCATGTATTAGGTACAGTTTTGGATGGAGTCGTGGAAAAGAGAAGCTGAAATCTGGAAAGTCTGGTATCACCTTGTATTCTTTTGTTTTATAGTTTGTTTTGTCAGAAACTCCAAGAACAACTTACGATTTGCGTAGTGAAATGACTGTTATTTTACTCCTTTTCGTTTGTGTTTTGTTTTTGCATATACGTTGAAAGGCTAATTTTATGCAAATTCAATATTAGACAAGTGTACAACAGACGGATCTCTAATTCAAAGGTAAAATTGTATAGGAGCAGCAATGTCTGAGGTCACATGGTATATGGCTCAAACCAATAATTGTTTGGCCAAACTGTTGTATTTGTCGGTTACTAATAATGAGCATTCCCTCTAAGGTTGTATAAAGTTGGCCAGGCCAAATTTTCTTTATGCTGGGATATATTTAGCAGCATTAACTTATTTGAAAACTTAGATTTGCACAAACACAACATAATCTTTGCGAAAGCATGTATTTGATTGACGTATTATATCATATATATTAACAGATAAGCAATGCTCTAGTGGGAGTCGACCGAAAAGACTTGATGAGGAAGCTATCAAAATTTATTTATGAGGAAGAGAAAGCTCTTGAGGTGAGGTTTTTTTTGTTCCCTGATTCATCTTAGTTTAAAGCAATGAGAAAGGTCAAGTTTATGATAGTTTCTAGATATGTAGATTGAGAAATTATCATTAAACTAAGATTTTACATGCACTTCCAAGGCCATTGTGCGTGGCTTGTACTTTTTCTTTAGGGTGCTATTTGTTTTTTCTAAGTGGGAACTTTGATTGTTCAATCTTGTATATTTGGAGTAGATATTTGTATCCTGAGCCTTACCCATAGGAGAATTTGAGTTAATTCGTTCTCAGAATATTCAGTTACATCTTTTTGGTAAATTCACATATGTTAGTTGTATTTGATCTTGATAATGGATGTATGTTTACGTGAGCAAACACATTCGTAAATTCTTGATGCATTATTAAAAGTTACAATATAGTTCAAATCCTTTGAATCATGTTCTTGAATTTTACTATATGTATCTTGTTCTTTGCATTTCGTTATCCGAACTCTGTTCTTTGAATTTGGTTACTGGAATCGTGCCTAATGTTTGATGTGGTCAGTGGCTTTGTATGGCTGGCTGGTGTGATTTGAGAGTGTTTTTAGTTAATGGCAGACATAGGATCTGCTTGAAATGTACTACCTACTTGAAGAGTCCTGATTGGTGGGACGGAATTGACAGAAGTCAATTTTGAACAAAATTTATTTGTTGTTTTAAAATCCATAATTTCCTTATTTGTATTGTCTGCTCAACTTCGGTTTAGCCAAAATGGTGTGTTTTCCTACTGAGTTATCTTGCATTAGATGTAAAAAATTGTAATATTGTGTTTTCTTACTGAGTTATCCGTATTGTATTCTGTCTGTTTGATCCAGCTTTCGCATAGAGAGTACATTTGGGGTCCTACAATTCCTGTGTTGAGCTTTCAGTGCCCAATTGAGAGACAGGGAAGTGTGAATAGATCAAAGTTTAGGATTTTTGTTTGGCCACCATTGACGAAGTGTGTTGATGCACAAAATCCGATGGATCTTGGACTAGCGTAAATCCGACCGTGAATCACACAAGCGCACGAGAACACAAAGATATATCGTGGTTCACCTCAGGTTGAGGCTACGTTCACACTGGTGTCGATTCCGTTTCACTCTGCAAATGAATGTTGAATATACATGGAGGCTCTAGAGGCAGTGTCTGATCTCTTGTTTTCCCTCTCTCTCTTCTTGAGTCCCCCCTCAGTGAAGGTGATGAGGATCCCTTTTATAGAATAAGAGTTTCCTCTTCTTACATAAATCATGGGCTCAGTAATGAAGCACATGTATCGAGGCCCAAATATCGAGGCCAATATATGGTACAACAGGAGTCTTCCAAGTCTTCAGTCAAGAGAGTCTTTTGGCTGGAGACTTCAAATCCAATCCATGTGCGGGCTGAAGTGACTAGATGTCGTCCAGAACTAGTACTAGACATGAGACGGTGCTTAACGTCAAGCAATACTTAGTTAGAGGTAGCACACGTTGCGAGGCTGCTCGGCTAGAGGCAATGCCCTCAGCGAGGCGGTTGCTCGGCTGGAGGCGGTGCTCGTTGCGAGACAGCTCGGCTTGTGGCGTTCTTCATCGCGAGTATGTACTCGACGTCAGCGTGAGCTCATTATGAGTTAATTCTCGACATGACTCGGATCCGCTTGTTGGGTTTGTATATGGGTCTATGCCTTGGCTGGAGACTTCAAATCCAATCCATGTACGGGCCGAAGTGACTAAATGTCGTCCAGAATAAATACTCGACATGAGACGGTGCTTAACGTCAAGTAATATTCAACTAGAGGTAGCACACGTTGCGAGGCTGCTCGGCTAGAGGCAACGCTCTCGACGAGGCGGTTGCTCGGCTGGAGGCAGTGCTCGTTGCAAGGCGGCTCGGTTTGTGGCGTTCTTCGTCGCGAGTATGTACTCGACGTCAATGTGAGCTCATTATGAGTTAATTCTCGATATGACTCGGATCCGCTTTGTGGGTTTGTATATGGGTCTGTGTCGGATCCACGGATCGGGTCCACAAGTCGGGTCTTTAAGTCGGGGCCATACGTAGGGTCATCGAGTCGCGGCCATCTGTAGGGTCTTTGAGTTGGGTTCATAAGTTGGGTCCGTGAGTCGAGGTTCGAGCTCAAGGGTGTTCAATTTCGTAGGTGCCCAAACGAATGGGTATCCAAGCTCACGGGTGTTCAGGCACATAGGTGTCCAAATAAGCAAGTGTCTGAGCAAGTGAGTGTCTTGTCAGACAAGAAATCATCATTCGAACTAAATCTTTGTCACCATAAGCATGTGGCTCAGTGATCCATAGGCTGATCCATAGTGTTGACCACCATAATTTTGGTCCTTGTTTAATCAATAAATTGTATGAGTATCGTATACAAGCAATCAATCATTAAAGTGTGCATATTGCGGGTAACATCACACATAGATCATATAAACATACAATAATGTAGTATGCCTAGTGAAATGTGTATGACAATATAATTTAATGAAATTTAATAATGTAACATAGAATGCGTGTGGTGTGGTTGCCATGGATTTATCTCCTTAGTGGGTTTTTCCAAACTGACAGTGAGACAGTGGGTAATCAAATAAAGGCTAGCCCAAAATTTTATTCTAATATTTAAATAATGAATAAAATATTCTAAAAAATGATTAAAGTTATAGCATTTTAAAAGGAGGTGACCGACAATATCAAAGGGTAATAATACTAAAGTTATGATAGGAATGATTATGATTTGAGATGTGATGTGTTTCTGGTCAACATAATATTAAAATAATAAACAATGAGCTGGAAAGGATGATAACAATACTTTTATCTCATTTGTGAGTTTTTTCGTAGGTTTGTCAGTGGGATAGTGGGTTGTACTCGTCCTCTTCATGATGAAAATTTCACCATAACATTTAAATAATAAAGGTAGTTTAAATAATGAATGTAGTGGTCAGGAATGATTAAAGATAAATAATAAAATATTAAATAAACAGTGATAATATTAAACAAATCATTTGAGAAAAGATAAAGTTCTTATCTTCTTCCATGTTCTCCCGTGGGTTGAGCATGACCGACAGTTGCAGGATGCATGACCTGCTCGCGGCAAGCGCTGACACTGATTTTTAGACGAGTTATCCAGCGTCGGCATCGCTTGGGTTGAGAAGTGATGACAGTTTTGAGTCCCCCAGAAGTAAACTGCATGGCTCCAGCAGATAAAAAAAATCCATGAACTGTGTCTTCGTCAGGCAGGCCAGGCCATTGCAACCGTCGATGTTCATGGCACAGGAGCCGCAGATCCCTTCCCGGGAAGATCTTCAAAAGGTGAGGGTGGGGTCCATCTCGTTCTTGATCTTGGTGAGGGCGTCAAGCACTATGGGCCCGCACTCCTTGAGGTTGATCTCGTACTCCTTGAGCTCCAGCTTTTTCGGGTTGTCCGGGTTCCACCGGTAGATTGAGAATGTTTTGATGTTCATTTTGTCTCGGGACTTTGAGGTCCACCTGCTGGGCCTGGGCCTCCGACGCCATAGCCCGGACACAGGCGTAACGAAACGACGCCGTCGTCGTTGATCCCGACGCCACCGCAGAAGCTATGGCCCTCCGTATCAACCTCGTCGCCATTGTTGCGTCTTCGAGCTTCAACAACTGCGCACAAAGAGAGAGAGGCTGTGATTGTGTTTCCATTGCTGCTGCCATGATCGGGAGCTGGAGCGGAAGACATGGGTTTTGCAGTGACTGTACAGGTGTTTGGTTCTTAGGTTTCTGCAGATTCACGGTGGAGGTTGTGAGGTTTGATGAAAAAAGTAGAGAGAATCTACATAGCTTTTCGTATCGATTCCCACAGACGGCGCCAAATGTTGATGCACAAAATCCGGTGGATCTTGGACCAACGTAAATCCGACCGTGAATCACACAAACGCACAAGAACACAAAGATATATCGTGGTTCACCTCAAGTTGAGGCTACGTCTACACTGGTGTTGATTCCGTTTCACTATGTAAATGAATGTTGAATATACATGGAGACACTAGAGGCAGTGTCTGCTCTCTTGTTTTCTCTTTCTCTCTTCTTGAGTCCCCCCTTAGTAAAGGTGAAGAGGATCCCTTTTATAGAATAAGGGTTTCCTACATAGCATTTCGTATCGATTCCCACAAACGGCGCCAAATGTTGATGCACAAAATCGGATCGATCTTCGACCACCGTAAAACCGACTGTGAATCACACAAATGTACAAGAACACAAAGATATATCGTGGTTCACCTCAAGTTGAGGCTACGTCCACACTGACGTTGATTTCGTTTCACTGTGTAAATGAATGTTGGATATACATGGAGGCGACAGAGGTAGTGTTTGCTCTCTCCTTTCCCCTCTGTCTCTTCTTGAGTCCCCCTTCAGTGAAGGTGAGGAGGATCCCTTTTATAGAATAAGGGTTTCCTTCTCTTACATAAATTATGGGCTCAGTAATGAAGCCCATGTATCGAGGCCCAATATATGGTACAACAGGAGTCACCTAAGTCTTCAGTCAAGAGTCTTTTGGCTGGAGACTTCAAATCCAATCCATGGGCAGGCCAAAGTGACTAGATGTCGTCCAGAACTAGTACTCGACATGAGATGGTGCTTAACGTCAAGCAATACTTGGCTAGAGGTAGCACACGTTGCGAGGCTGCTCGACTAGAGGCAATGCTCTTGACGAGGCGATTGCTTGGCTGGAAGAGGTGCTCGTTGCGTGGCGGCTCTACTGGAACCATGCAGTTTACTTCTGGGGGACTCAAAACTGTCATCACTACTCAACCAAAGCGATGCTGTCGCTAGATAACTCGTCAAAAAATTAGTGTCGGCACTAACAAACTTGTCGCGAGCAGGTCATGCATCCTGCAACTGTTGATCATGCCCAACCCACAGGAGAACATGGAAGAAGATAAGAACTTTATCTTTTCTCAAATGATTTGTTTAATATTATCACTGTTTATTTAATATTTTATTATTTATCTTTAATCATTCATGACCACTACATTCATTATTTAAACTACCTTTATTATTTAAATGTTATGATGAAACTTTCATCATGAAGGGGACGAATACAACCCACTATCCCACTGTCAAACCCATGGAAAAACTCAGAAATGATGATAACGGATAAGAGCACTGTTATCATCATTTCCAGCTCATTGTTTATTATTTTAATATTATGTTGACCAGAAACACAGCATATCTCAAACCATAATCATTCATATCATAACTTTAGTATTATTACCCTTTGATATTGTCGCCACTTCCTTTTAAAATGATATAACTTTAATCATTTTGTGAATATTTTATTCATTATTTAAATATTAGAATAAAACTTTGGACTAGCCTTCATTTGATTATCCACTGTCTCACGGTCAGTTTGGGAAAACCCACTAAGGAGATTAATCTATGGCAACCACACCACATGCATTCTATGTTACATTATTAAATTTCATTAAATTATAGTCACATACACATTTCACTAGGCGTACTACATTATTGTATATTTATATGATCTATGTGTGACGTTACCCGCAAGATCCACGGGATTTTGTGCATCAACAAAGTGAAAGGTAAGTCTTCCCGAATTTTATTATTTTGGGTTTGAAAGGAATGACAAATGAAGTTGGTCATAGTATGTTGTAGTAGGTATACTAAGGTATATCGTTATCAGAGTTTAGTGTGTGTTGGATTCAAAATATTTCTAAAATCTCATTTTTTTTTTTTGGTATTTTCAGTGAAGCCAAAAGAGAAGAGTCGGTTGAGAGAAAAAGAAGTCTCACGGTGAGAGGCCAGTTTCATTTGTGATGTACCTCGAATGCTGTTTGTTATTCCTTTATTTTTATTTTTTTTTGGTATTCTTTTGAAGCTACAGTGTTTGTTAACAACTGTTTCCATTTCTACATACCCTAAACCCTCTCTGGAAATTAATTAAAATGATTTCTGGTACATGCAATATATGTTACAATTGTTAAATGTGAATTCATATCTTTTACTCCCAAAACTGGGATTTATTAGTTCATCCAAGTATTTTGTAAGTTGGTCCGAAAAATCTCTTTTACATTAAGCACGTCCTTAGATTTTTGGTCAAATGGGACATGGAAACTCAAATGTTGTTTGTTATTCCTTTATTTTTTAGTATTCTTTTGAAGATCTGCATGTCGATTGCTGCTTCTGTTTCTTATACAAACACAGTATTTTTGGCGATCACAACTTTTGTGATCAGAAACGTTTAAGGTCATCCAGTTAATTGTACAATGGGTCTTGATGTCAGCTGAATTGAATGTAAATGAAAACTAAGCTGCTGATCCTACCAGCCCAGTTCACCCATCTCTTGCTTATTTAAATTAATTGAAGATGCCTATGTTTATACAAGTTCTTTTCACAAAGAAACCTATATTATAGTTTCACTTTTACTTGCTTTCGCACGGGGGGAGGTGTCTGGACATGTAATTGGCGTGTCATTACTCACTATTTTTTTTTATCCTTATCTTCTATATTAATATCACCATTTCTTTTGGTGCTCAATGAGTGGTTTGGCAGATAATAGATAAAGGTTCATGTAATGTTATTGTAGATCCACTACATTCTTCAAGAAGTCCGATTTACAGAACCGGAGCTGTTTAAGTACATGATGTCCCAGTTTATAGCTGAGGTTTGATAAACTTATTTAAAAAGGGTCAATATGATCATTGCTGATCCTTAACATTTAACTATCAAAGCTTGAGTTTATATATGTCATTTTAGGGATGCTTAGGGCAGGTGTAGGAAAGGAAATGAAAATTGACATTTTGAAGCTTACCCTTTGGTTGGTGGCTGAGAAAAATGGGGGAAAAGGAAAAGAAAATTGTAGTGTTGAGTAGCTCAATGGTGGTGTTTATGTAGTGCATTTTTTTTTTAAAATTAAGTCTAAATGCATTTTTGTTTGTGTGTGAATCTGCCACAGATTAAGTGCACTGCACTGTCATAGATTAAATCCATTATGTCGTCGCAGGTTAAGTTCATTTCCCTGTGTCCATTTGTTTTCACCTCAAATTCTTACTCTGAATCTCTCTTTTTCGCAGTTTAGTTCGGCCACCATCTCTTATCTGCAAAGCGAAGAAGAATTCAGCAGATTGTATGTTACTCCTCCCCAATATTTTCTGTATGTTTTCTTCAATTATTTGTTTTTGGGTTTGTTTCTTTCCCGAGAATAAGAAAGAAACAGGAAAAATTAATATTGGGTAGTTAATTTATGTTGGAGTGTTATATTTATTCAAGACATCCAGGGGAATTAGGTACTTAATTGATTGATGACCTGATTGAATTTCTTTGATTTTTCTGAAAGAATTTGTTTTTTATTCTGGCGTTTTGATTGTTTTGTAGGCAAGACTGACGCAGATGATGCCGAATGAAGGGGAACTGATGAGTTTTGGCAAGATTTTGGAGAACAACATGACAGTGGGTCAGTGTAAATTACCTTTGGTTGGATTGGTTGAGGAATTGTCGTGATGTGTGTTGTTGTACAGCCAGCTATGGGAAAATCTAAAACAGGTAATGTTTCCGTTAGGAACTTAATCTTGGGTTTTGTATAAGGGGTTGGGTGACCTAAGACAAGACCATATTAAATTTGGTGTTTAGCGTGCTTAAACTGGTAGGGATGATCAGAATTGATGTTTTTAGTTATTAAAACGTGGTATTTATCCTGAAAACTACACCAAGGGGACAGGGGTTGGTTAGAACTTTGAACCCGGGATGCAGTGGGGCTAAGAGAATTACTCTCCCTACCTGGCCAATCAATCACTTGCAGAATTGTTAAAATACCTCTGCTAAAAATATGAGCTTTACTTCATGTACTTTATTTTTATTGTGATGTGGAAATAGTCCTTACAATGGCTTATTTGTGATAGTTGATGAAGAGGTTTGTGTTTAAGACGAGAGTAGTGCAGTCTCTTTCTTGTAGTGAAATATGTATTTGTGAATGTGGGTTTGTGGGATTTGCTGCTTTGATAGGTGAATATCTTTGTCCTGCAACTTTTCCTTTCAATTTGATTGAACAATTAGTTTGCAACATGCTATCGTGCTTTGTCTATTGTTTGGTATGAAGCTGAATTGCAATGTCTTTAACCCTTTTTATATTTTTTGCAAAGTGTCTTTAACCCTTTTATTCACCCACTGTAAGCTTACTTAGCTCCAGCTGAAGCCATTCAAGTCAAATTCACAATCTTACTAATTAATTTTAAAAGTTGGGAAAAAATTTTGGAATGCTTTTGCATTCATCCATGCCACAATGGTAAATTCAAATTTTTTTGTCCTACCAGATGGACCCAGTAAGTTCATCAAACCCAGATTTTAGTAGTGTTGATGGTGCGGCTGTAGTGGAGGGGAAATAAGAAAAGTAAATCCACTGTTTGATTTTACAGTTTTCTTCTCCTGTGTTATGCTTCCTAACCTTAGTTCTATATTATCTTATTCAGGCAAATGAGAAAACTGAATACACTATTTCATACCTGGTGGTTTGTGTTCTAACAATAAAGATGTGCTTCAGGCTGTTTCTTCAATCAGCAAGAATAATTGGAACAGGTATTAACATCACTATAAAGACTTAGTTTAGATAAGTAAGAGTAAGGTCACTTTTATACTTTTGCTTTTAAACGGAATTTAAAAAATGATTGACCATCAAGTACTTTGTCAATGTATTTGGTCTAGAAAGCATCATGTTTGATGATCTTACTACTAAATTCATTTTGTAATGATTCAATTTCATGTTCGATGATGGTAATTTTTGTTGGTTTTCTATTCAGGTTGAACCAAAAACTCTCCAAGAAGCCAATTTTCTTAAAGGCAGTGTTAAGGTAAATTTTAATTACCATTATTCCACATAGTATACATTCTGAAAACATCTTTGACAAAATTTATGATCTAGGAAGCCTCTCAATTGCTTTTGGCGTTTGATTCAACAGGTAATGCACTGTTTCCTCCCTAGATTTCTCTGTTTCGTCCACTATATCCACCAGCCAAAAAGCACAAAGCAGTTCTACTGAACACACACACACTCACACACACACCCCCACAACTGACCACCCCACCTCCATTTCAGCTCAGCTCAGCTCAGTTCCGGGTGTCCAAATCAATCAGTTTTCCGACCCATCCTTCTGAAAGCCATGCCTGCTTGCTAAGCTTCACGATCCCGAACCCGGAAATCCTTTCAATTTCTCAGTAAAACTATATTCGATGGCTTGAATGTCTTCAGGTACTTTTCTGTTTCTTTTGGTTCCTTTTTTTTTTTTTTGTTGCTTAAATTCATGTGATTATCTGCTGTTTATTTTAGCATGGATTTTACTATAACTCTTACTTTCAGAGTGCATCTCAATGTTCTTTGATCTTCATTGCTTTTAGCTTTACCTTCTGACTAGCCTTGCTATATTCAATCAGTGATAAAATATATATGTATATAAGTGGTAATATGTGTGTGTGTGTGTGGATTGCACAGATGCTCAGACATGCCACCCATGCCTAAACATTAGAAAAAGTTTGTTCTCCTTGGTAATAGAATTTGGCATCTTTCAGTGCACGATGAAGGTATATTGTCAATAATAAAGTTGGGATTGTTATTATGAGAATTTGTTTAGGAATTGACAGATTGAATTGCTGTTTCGGAATTTGGAAAATTTGTCTTGTGTGATCATTTTGGTTTAGGAATAGATAGATTGTTTTCTTTGATGCATAATATTGAATTTGGATGGAATTGATTAAATTTTGTGTTGTTTTAGGCCGTTGTGTATATAAAGTCCGTAGTCAAAATTAGGGACTGTTTTGTATAATTTTCTACATTCGTGATTGTTCGACATGATAAAAAATAGGGTTTTTTTGGTTTGCTGATTTTCATGTGCTCTGTATTCATGATTGTTTATTTTGTAAAGGAAATGCGGGATATGATAGAGATGCAAGCAAATTTCTAATCTTTGTCTATCCGGTTTTCACTTTGTTCAATTTGATTTGCGTTGCTTTTGAGGAAACCAAATTAAATTTTCCCTTCGATCGTTGTATGTCATGCTTATGTTCTCCTTTATTGGGAGATTGATTTACTGTTTAAAATTGGTTACATTCTCTTGTAGTTGCCCTTTCTGTTGGTTCTGAAAAAGCAAACTGACATGTGGATTTCTGTCTTTCTATATCATGCTTATGTTGAAATGTTATACCTGCCAAAACCATATGTTGAAATGTTGGATTGGTAAATGTTTTTTGTTTTTCTGTTTTTAGGACTTCATTAACCGTTTAGAAGCGGAGCCGACGATGCGAGAGAAAAAGGGGAGCAAGCATGTGAGGTAATTTTTTATATTGAATTAAGTGGTTCTGAATTCAGTCAAACATTTGTGTGCAAGTTTGCAGTGATATTATTGTAACATCAATCCTAAAATGTATTGTGTCAAGAACCAATAAAAGGAATGTAATGTGTAAGTGCATTTGATTATTCAAATGCAATTTTTTTAATTTTTAGAATGAGTTGCAATTAAAATTAACGGACTGCTGAGCAGAAGTTTAATTAATTCAGTTTTGATAAATGATTGAAGGTTTCTCTATGATTCTATTGTTGTTTTGATAATTATAAGTTTAGATAACTAAAGAGAGAACGAAAATGAAAGCATAGAATATGGTGAATAATATGTTGCTATGTGTGTGTTCTATTCGGGAGAATCGGTTGCTGTTTTGATAAATTGTAAAATTTATTTTGCTTGGTCTGAATGTACGTCCGATTGCTTGCCTTCCCATAGATGGGTAGAGCTGGACATCCAGAAGAATTTGTTTTCATAGGAATTTTTTTTTCTTTTCGCTATAATTTGTTTTGTTAAGGGTGATGATAAAGATTTATCAATATTGTTTGTTCGGAGTTAGGTGGAAATCGGAAGGGAGTAAATTGTGATCGTTTCTGCAACATTTAATAAAATTGGGAAATAAGATTGGGGAAATAATGTTAACGGTTTGTAGATGCTTAGGAGACTGTCTGGGGCTGCTTAAATTTTATATATTCAGTTGCATAGAGCCGACATGACATGCACAACGATGGTCAGATTGCCACCCTTAGTTGATGGTATTATCTTTACAACACATTCAAATTGAGGATTTAGAAAATCTAATAATAAAACTGAAATATATGTTCCATGCTTTTTGTTTTCATTTTGGGTTAAAAGGTTGGAGATTTGGATTGGGATTTACCTTTATTAACCTATATTATTGTGCTCAACAAACCATCTTGGGAGTCTTAACATGCTTGTTCTTCTATTTCACAGATTCGAAATGTGTTTAGTATCTCATTTAATAGGTGTACCTTTGCACATTTATCTCAAATTTAATACGATTTGGTCCTCCAATTTCTCTGAATTGCCAACGGATTTACTTTCTTTGGAAATTTCAGGAACTCTGGTTGTGGGAGGAAGAAGTTGGTTCCTTGCTATTTTTAGGTATACGATTATGTGCCCTAATTGCATGTTTATTTATCTTTGCAAAGCTTTCGTACTTGGATTTTAAATGTGTTTGGTTTGTGAAAAATAAACGAGAAACTAATCATGGGGACATTCTTATTCAATTTAAATGTGTTTTATTCATCCGATTACGCCTGAAACAGCTGGTTCCCGCAGCAACGCTCGGGCGTATTTTCTAGTTATAACTAAGATTAGGGTAAAAATATAGAATAATATCGACTCATCACCTATCGATTGAAATCTTTGCTTAATAAATTGGATGTGTCCTTTTTTCTCTTTGGTTGAAATTTGACGTTCTTTGAATTCAATTTTTTTATTTTATTATTCAATTGCATTGATGAATGTTAATAGAATTCAATTATATCTATCGGTCATCTTGCTTGAATATTATGGCTTAATTTTCTGTTTCTTAGTTTCATGGTTGGTTGGTTGGTTGGTTGGTTTGTTCCATTTTTTTTAAAGAAACCTCGACTGCATAAGAGAAATTTTATAGAATTAGAAAAAAGAAGTTGCATTTAGTTAAGGGGACATAAAGTTTAGCTCATTATATAAGAAGAAATAATAAGGTAAAAAAATACAATAAAGAGATAAACTTGACTCTTCTTAAGAAAACAAATAAAAATACAAGAAAATAGGAACTATGCGGTCCCCCGGATGTTCCTCAGGGGTTTGCCGCCCCCCCCCCCCGGGGGGTGTGGTGGGGTGGGTGTGTCAAGCCTTATTTGGAGTTTCTGGAGTTGGTGGGGAGGATCGGTGGATATGCGATTGCAGTTGATTTGGAGTTGGGGGGACACTCCAAATCCATCGCGGATTGCGAGCAGGTGGAGGTGGCGGCCTTTTGAATGGTCTTAGACTGCGGCGATCGGGCACCACTTTCGTGCTCAAAATATCACTTTGGCATTCAAAGCAACCTTGTTCAATTACATGAGAAAATCACAAGAAGCAAGAAATTAGTTACCAAATAATAAAATTGGTAAAAACTAAGTCGATTTAAGTAGCTAATACTAATGCTTGGATATCTTATAAAAGGAAGATAATTATTATTATACCATGAGGCAGTGGTCCACAAGTTACTTGGAAATCCCCCATTAGAAGCAACACTAGTGTTGTAATTGCCACCAGCTTTGCTGAAGAACCATTCATCTTCGGAAGCAGAAACAATAACTTCGAAAATCCTTTCACCACAACGTGGAGATGAATGATAGTGCAAAGGGAAGGCAAGATTTATAGACTTTAGCTTGCAGGGGTTTGGACAATAATTATATGCTTCTGTTTCTTTCTTCCTTTTGGGTCAATATATGCTTATGTTTCTAATTGGACTATCAAAGGGAGGACCCTTGAGTCGTCCATTGATGTAGAATAGGAAATGAACCGTGGAAAGATAAAGGGACAGTAATATTTGAATATTCAAGACTCGATTTGGCCCGTGATAACTTTCCAAAAAAACAATGGTGCCACAAGTCCAACACACTGCTTAGGCCTCGATGTTTGATGGATTTTGGTCATCTGGGTTCATTTCAACCTTCAAAATAGCGTTTAAAGTTTCGAAATAAAAATCGGACTCTTCGTTTGTAGTCCGATTAATGTTTAACTAATGTTGTTGTAATTATTAGAAGTCATTTGAGTTGTTCCAAACATTTGTAATCTTTATTTAAGTCATCTGGATGTGTCAATGACAATCATTCAAGAATTAATCAAACAAAAACCCTTTGGGATTTCATTCAATTTTCTGATGGATTTCTAGATTTTGTTGTGCAATGGATTACGTTGATAACCCTTACATCGTTTTATTCTGCGTCATCCACTCTTTTCATTTATTCTCTACCATACAAGAGATTCTTCATTTGTTTATTGAAAATAGTGTAATTTTAAACGCATGACAATTTTTTATTAAACTTTAACGTCATTGAAATTAAAACTTGATTACAAATTAGAATTTCTATATACCATACACCTCAATTTAGTACAATCACCCATGTGTAGTGTGACAAGTAACTCGTCACAAGTCGCGTAAGACTCCTCAATACGAGAGTCCTTTTTTTACCAATATGTCATTTGCATAATTTTTTCTTGGTTAATTATCTACGAATAAAGTCTTTTCTAAGTTAATTATCTGCGAGAATAAAGTGAGAAAAAAGCAAAGAAATTAGAAACTTTTTATGACGGTTGCTCATATGTAGGGCTCCATTTTGCGATCGCTTCGGCCCCCAAATTTCAAGCCCCCAGCGGCGGTGCCGGAACAAATTCCTTCCTTAATTTATTTTTTATGGGTGAAGGTGGAGATGAATGATAGTGCAAAGGGTACGCAAGATTTATAGACTTTGATTTGACTTTGATTTGACTTTGATCTGCCTATGAACCTTGGTTCACACTCTACGTATTTTTGTTTTAAGTTTTCTCGAGTCACCCTAACTTATTTGCAGGGGTTTGGATTAAAGTTTCTAATTGGACTTTCAAAAGGTTGACAAGTCTTTCACTGTGGAATCGTGGATAATGGGTTCCTGCTCTTATGATCATTTTCTTCCACTGTGGAATCGTGGATAATGGGTGGATAATGGGTTCCTGCTCTTATGATCATTTTCTTCCACTGTGGAATCGTGGATAATGGGTTCCAGCTCTTATGATCATTTTCATCAAGAAAATTTTATTTGAATCCATATAGTCTCTTTCCACATAACTTTTTAATTAAGCTATCAATATCTTTTTAAACCCAAATTTACTATATAAACTACCCCCACAAACCCAATTCAATATGTAAATTTATCTTTACACCTATATTACTAACTTGTTGAATTTGTGATAACTTTTTCTCTTGCAGAATAACCAAATCAATATGATTTAGATTCTGATTTATGCATTCCTTAATTTTAGTTTTTACTGAGTTTGATTTCGAGACTTAGCTACTTGCAGTTTTTCTTTAATCTTGTTATATTTTGCATTTGTTAGAAAATCATCAGTTGTTATTTTGTTTGACAGGTTTATATATACACGTTTAGGTATGGTAATTGATGTCCGCCTCAGCACCCTTTGCGGTCATATTGTTGCCAATTCCATCAGCAATTTTACTCTCTTCATTGTATCCTTTTTGGTGATTACAGCTTTTCTATTGACATTCGGCTTTAAATCTTTGTTACATTGTTCGAAAAAAATTTGGCTAGTGATTTTCACGCTCGATTGAATCTCTTGCACTCCTTCCTTTGAGTGCAAAACACTTAAAATGAGTGTCCAATATCGCTATCCAAAAGTTTACGTATTTTTCCTTTGACTTGTTACCACTTTTTAGCAATAACCCATAATTTTTCTATAGGTGCCTATGCTCTTTGCCATTTGAATTTAGTTATATGAATATTTACATAAATATCATGCTATCTGGTTTTGTGCCTAACCAATTTTAACTAGTACACAATCTCCATCTTCTGTCTTCTTTGCCTTGACGTTGGTGTGATTGCCTCAGTTTTCTATAGGATGGATTGGGAAGTGGTATATGCCTTCATGTACTTGTGATTTTTATGTGAGGCTTTCAGTCACTGATCTAATTTCTTTGTCTCTTTTCAAGTTTCGTAGAAGAAGGATTGGTGAAAGTATTGGGTGTGGGTTTGTTAATAAAATTTAGTTTTATTGTTAATTACATCTTGTACTTTATAGTAATTATGTAATAGGTTAAAAAGGACACCTCATATTTAAAATTTAAGTTGAGCGTAGAAAGATGTTATATGGGTTCAAATAAAATTTCTCTTTTTATAATAACCTGATTAGTTTAATTCGGAATTGTGATAATGGGTTTTGGCTCCTATGATCATTTTTATAATTCCCTCATTAGTTTAATCCGAAATCATGGATAATGAGTTCTGGCTCCAATAATCATTTTCATATTTCCTTGATTAGTTTAATTTGGAATGTGATCGTTGATAATAGGTTCCAACTCTTATGATCATTTTCTTAATTCCTTGACTAGTTTAATTCAGAATCGTGGATAATGGGTTCTGGCTCCTATGATCATTTTCATAATTCCTCCCTGATTAGTTTAATTATTCCAGCTCTTACATGTTTTCTCTGTTAATGCAATTGTTTCAATATATTATGGATTGCGATGTATGCTCAAATACGTGTTGGAACTAATATTGATACGAGATCATTGGATTCCTTGTGAAAAATGCAACGATAAATAATGAATTTAGAAAATTAATTATGGATTGGCAGAAGAAGGGTTGCCAAAAGTTTTGTTTGGAAATTATACACAAACATCACATCAAAAGTTGGAAGCTTCGGGTTCTCTCTCGAGTGAGAGTCTTTCTCTATTTATGAGAGTATTTCTCACATCTTCGTGTGAGGCCTCCAAATTTGAGCAAAATCGGTGGCGCCGACCCTAGTTTCGACCGGGATCGATCTCCGTTCTCCCATTTCTTTCATTTTTTCATTATTCCTTACTTCTACTATTTTTTAGCCTTGTTATACCGATTTTAGAAAGAAAATACATTTGCGAAGAGTGTAAAATGAGATTATTAGAATGCTAATAATAGTTCTCTTATAATATTAGCACGATAATTAATGTTAAATTGTGAAGTGCTAGATAATTCATAGAGAATCATTAGCATTTTTCTTAACACGCACTCTATTATAGACTAGTTTTAGTCATTAATATGAAGAGCTTGAATTTCACATACCCATATCCCTTCATATATTTAAACTTGGCATTTGCGGCTAAAATTGAAGTTTTCGCGAACAAGCGCTTCAAGATCTTAATTACGTAGTGTTTATCACTACCCAACACAGACGATATTTAGGGATAATCTATATTCTGACAAATCGAAATGGCAGCTTCATGAGCAACTGTCGTCTGTTCAGTATTATTTATGACCAAAATTGTACTCGTGGCTAAAGGGTTTACTAGTAAAGATCCTTATATAAAGACCCCCACACCTCCCCCAACCCTAAACATGTTTAAGAAGAGCCAGGAGTATGAAATTTTTGTCACTTGGTACTACAGTTTAGTGGTATTCATTTTCACTTATAAGTGAGAAATTTTATATTCGATTCTTGCCAAAAGAAAAATTAAACTACATTATTGTTACCCCATTATGAGGTTTAGCCCATCTCCTCCCCGTAAATGGGTGCTTTAATGGTTTCCAAGCTTGGTATGCCGGACATACCCTATGAAAGGATACAAGTCATAAAGAAAAATATCTAAGAATGAGAAATGTAAGGACTTTCTCAAAAGTTGTACCCTTCGTGGACTCCATGTCACGGTATAATTTAACGTTAATTTTTTGAGTCAACATTTTAAAACATTGTGTAAAAAACATAAGGTAACAGAGAGTCTATAACTAATCCCACTTTTGAAAGAGTCTCATTAGCATTTCTCTGTAACAATTTCAAGGGGCACATTCCAAATTAAATATGCATTTTGATATAGGCACCTGAACTTTTTTTTTTTCACATTAGATTCTCGTTAATTATGAACGAGAGGCGTCAATGCTTGTTTGAAACGGTCTAAATGCGGAGAAAATGGTGTTTAAATTTGTAACACAATTTATGGGGGAGGGGAAAGGTTTGGAAAACCATATTCTTAGACTATATTTTGTAAACCGTATAATAAGGCAGTTGATAGTTAGAATCAATTTTTAATGATTTAAAAAAAGAACCAAGCACAAAGTAACAAAAGAAATCAATAAAAAAATGATTGTCGCCCTAGCGCCATAATTAAGTTTTCATTTGAACCAAGCACAAAGTAACAAAAGAAATCAATAAAAAAAATAACATAAAATAAAGAGTAATTTTGGTAGTACATACCATCATTATCATTCATCTCCATCCTCATCCCATATCAATTAAAATCATGTTTTATTTTTATTGTATTGAAATTTTATATTAAATGTGATTTTACAAAGCTTAACCATCACAAATTTGCATCTGCTACCATCTCAGAGTCGCATCAAGCTGCATAAGCTATCAACACATTTGTAGAACACCATATGGCTAAGTTCAAATACCATCGAAGGAGAGACAAGAAAACAAAAACTTCGAAGAGAACTAAGAAGTTGAGACATCAGCTTCTTCATCATCTCTTCCGCTGCAGGCTGCTTCGATACAAAGCTCAACCATCACAAACTATAAGCCTCTATTTCCACCACGAAGTCACATCCTGAAGCTTTCTAAGAAATGGACTACAAGACCACAACACTACGACAGGCTTGAAGGAAATGCAAACAAGGATCAAACTGCAAAGCATATATACCGTATGACATAATCTCTAACCCATAAATATTGCTATATTTCTCTTCTGTATGCAAATGCAAAACACAGTTGGTAGATCTCTATGGCTAGTTCAAATACCATTGAATTTGAGATGGAAGAAAATAAAGACTCCCAAGACAATGAAGAAGCTGAGACATCAGCTTCTTCTTCATGTATAAAAAAAAGGTCGTACCCAGTGCATAAGGCTCCCGCTTTACGCAGGGTCTGGGAGAGATGAATGTCGGCTAGCCTTACCCCCATTTATGGAGAGGCTGCTCCCAAGTCTCGAACCCGAGACCTACCGCTCATGGGCTTCTTCATGTATGCCATAAAAAATATGTTGTAGAGATTTACCTGATTCTCTTTACCACTGCTTGATATATTGTTCCATCTTCCCCGAGAACCACTGGATTTCCAAAGGGAAACTTATTCGGTTACTAGTGGCTGAAGGACTGGTTCAAGAGAAAGCAGGGCAGATTATGGAGGAACTAGCAGAAGAAAATATAAATGAATTGATCAACCAGGGCTTGCTGCAAGTATATGATGACCGCCCTTACACAGGAACTAAATTGCAGGTCCCCAGGTCCCCAATCCTCTTCGAGAATTCTGTCTTCACCAAATGGAGGCGTTACCTGAATACTCCAACTAGAATTCTGTCTCCATCTCTTTGAGAACTCTGTCTTCATCTCTTTGAGAATTCTGTCTTCACCAACTAGAATACTCAGATTCTATGAATATCCTCCACTTGCACTGTTGCTTGTGGGCTGAAGACGTTACCTGAAGGCTTGCAGTTTCTCACTACACTTGAGCAGTTAGACTTGCTGCCTTTGATGAATGATCATGCAGAACGATTGACACCTGATGGGGGAGAGGAAAACTACAAAATTAGGCACATTCCACATATCATTCATTACCATATCAACGGCGCAACAAATTGCTGCCACTAAGGAAGTATAAGGATCTAATAAAGTTTGGAGATCTTCGGATGGAGAGGAGCCAATGTGGGTGAACAGATAATTTTTAAGCTGTCTGATATATTCAGGATCACATTTGTGACAATGCAAAGCTGTAATAGTTAGGGTTGTTTCCATATACAAGTAGTTGGCCCTCAAATATTATGATCGACTTCATACACACTTTTCTTTCTTTGTACACCTCATGGATATCATACTTTCTGGTTTTACCAGCACCATGTCAGCACACTACAACCTTCCTTATGATGAATTATATATATAGTTTTTCATATAAATTGCACACACACACACACACACACATATATACATATGAACTGAGAGAAGCAACCTCTTATCACGAATAATAACCCACCGTGCAGGACACGGTGCGGGCAAGACACAATGACTGCCAAAACGCGCTCCCTTCAATATTTCATCCTAAGATGTCAGGGAATTCCACAACAGCTCAGATTGATTTTCCCTACGCACCACTGAATTGGTAAATTATCGCAAATCACATAACTCCAATTCAGTGTTGATATTATTCCATACACAATGAATTGTTTCATACATTACATGTTGCAAGGATTCAATTTCACGATAAATGTTAAAAAAAATAGAAACTTCTATTGCTAACTAAACAAATTAGAACACCCAGAGAATAAGCATATGTCCTCACATACAAAACACCACTGCTATCAATAAAAGAAAAGTCGATTCACCAACAAAACTCAACAATAAACAAAGCTGTTAAAACATTAGGAATAATGGAATTAAAACATGCATTAATCGATTAGTTACCTGCTTCATTTAAATAGGAAATCCATATACAATTAGGAAGGAATGAAAGCAGGGAATACATAACCAAACCAACAGTAGCCTTCGAACTCCTGTTAAATCTCAGATTTATCAGCGGAGTAAACCAAACACAAAATCCACTCTTAGCCGACAAAGCCTCAACAAACTGCCACAACTCAGCATAAAATCAAATTGTTAAGGTTTCGTTCAAATCAATGCAAATTTGAAATAACTCTCATATAAGGGTTGCAGAACTTACCTGAGTTAAATAATTTTTTTTTTACGATGATCTGAAAAAAGATGGCACCCAGACCGCACCAAAAATTGGTCGGAAAGCCGATGACAATTAGGGAGAAACGATTTACAAAGATGCAGAACTTGTCTCAAAACAGAGAACCCAAACAAACTCCCCCAAAAAAAAGGAACACGACGATCTTTGCGATGAATATTTTGCAAAACGAAAAACACAGGATTACAGACGAAAGGAAGGCGAGACCAAGATGGAGAGAAGCAGAGATTGCCGACACACAAAAGGCAAAGCAAATGGTAAACCAACGAAAACCTATTCAATGCATAAACTGAACGATGACAGACACGCCATGAGGGCCAAAACGGACTTTTCACTGCACAAAATAGCAAAGAGCACCGCAAGCAAACAAGAATCCGAGAGCAGTTTCGCCCTTTCACTGTTGGTGAACAGTGCCGGGGGAAACTGAGTTTTAGTATATATGATGACTAGCAATAGTGCCCGCGCGTTGCTGTGGGTCTTAAAACTACTGGATATAAAAGAAGAAAACGGCCAGTGCAAACTTGTAATGGATAGTTTCTAATTAACAGGTTTTTAGTATGTTCATGCTATTTAAACACAGAAAAATATAATAAGAAAAAGAAGCAGAGTGTTGGCAGAAAGTGATGTAATTTGCGGCACACCTGTAGTCAAGTCTGTGTAATCGATTTTAGTTGTGAACACCGGTAACATGTATAACTCAGAGAACAAAAAACAGCAGAAACTGAAGAAGAAAATGATGTGCACATAGATTATACTGCAGTAACTATAAATTAAGGTTACAAGTGTTTTAATATTGATATAAATTTGTGGTGGAGAATTATGCATAAGAGGATAACTGCTTTTATGAGTAAGTATATAATACTTCAAAACGATTATTAATAATTTACGAAATGTTTGAAGTAAAAAAATATACATTTGATGTTGAAATTCGAGATAATAAATGTAGCTGTAACTTATTAGGAGTGTTTAAATTGGCATTAACTGGTCTATAACAGTTTGTCCAATTATATTGAATATCATTAGATCATGTTACAATACGATGTTACAGGAAAACAAACAAAAAATTATATAAGCTATTAGAAACAATATATAATTGCAAATGTAAAGTTGTATCATTTGATTCTTAATAAGCATGTATATATGCCATTTGGACATGAAGAATTAAAAAGCATATAGAGCTGTACACTTGTTGAGGTAAGAGTTTAGATGATAGGAATCCATGCTGAAAATTTGTTGAGGATAACAAAACTTGAGTTTGATGTTGTTCTAGCAGATGGGAACAGACAGAAAGAACAAAAGGAAAAATATATACTAAAAAGGAGATGATGTCCAAAGATTGGAAAAGCAGGTTAAAAAGTAAATTTATGTTTTATACCGACTAAAATGATTGTCAAATTTGCAGCAAGCTATCTTTGAATGAGTAAAAAATGGGAAAGTTGTAGGCAAATTTGATGAGGTGAACTGGAGAAAATTGAAAACCAGTATTACAAATGCATAAAAAACATGAGAATATGGTGTAAAAAGATATCTAAGCCAGTTTTGTACTGATTCTAATGTAAAAATGGGAGAAAGGATGTTCAAAGATGGATCAGATAGAGCTGATTAGGCGTCTCTATGTAACACAGAGATACTATTTGCTCAGTTATTTCAGCTTTGATCATTTGGATAAATAATCATCACTTCCATATTTTCTCTTCAAATGAATGGACTGTTACCAATTTATAGACAAAGGCTTTCTTCCTTTGGGCTGCTTTGAATGCATGATTAATTACTTGGCTGATGACCAAGGGGTTTAAGATGGATATCCAAAAGTATAAATTTAGATGTTCTAACCAAATATATACTCTTTCCACATTGTTTAATTGAATCAAAGAAGACTGGAGAAAGGAAATTGTTTAATCCATCTAACGAATAATGAGATGTTGCATAGATAGATCTAACAACCGCCCTATTGCTAATAGGTAATTTGACTTAATTGAGGCATGTGGAATGGGTCCATTTTTGGTAAGAGTGTTTAAAGTAATGCTTTTGGATGTCTAACTTAACTTATCAATGCGTAGTCAGGTAATTGGACATGCATTTAGACCAGATGAAAAAAAGATAGTCTGTATATATATATTGGTAATAGCCAATTCCCCTAAAGAGAAAGTTTAGTAAAGATTGAATTTAAGCGTAAAACATTAATGAAAAAAATGTAATAAATTCTAAATATTAACATACCATTGGTTGTTGTACAGATGTACCTATAGAAGAAACAGAGGAGTTGATCGATCTGTTTACCTGATTTTTACCAATAAAGAAATTGATATTAATATGCTTTTTGAGGAAACCCAATGTTTTCATGTATATGTTCTACAAACTAATACATGTACAACGAATTATCTCCTAAGGTGATCTTTTTTGTTTTACAATGTTATCTAGGAAGAAACTCATTGGATCATGCAATTACAAATAGAAAAAACTGTTTAAAAGAATAACAAAGATAATTTTTGCAGCACATGGAAAATAAAATCTTGTTTGAATAAAAAGCCTAAAATGAAAGGGTCATATTTCGTACCTAAAGTAGAAATGGTTTTAAAGGCTGTACATTGAAGCTGCAGAAAGCAAAGAGCATCGCATGCTGAAAACAAAAAGAAAACCAAATTGTAAGTGTAGAGTCTGTAGACAGAGCAGGCAAAAAATAAAAGAAACCAAAATTTGAAAAATGTTCTATGCGGACACCAAATGTTTCAAAAGGTTATCCAGACGGAACAAAATTGGTTAATTTGTTATGTAAGCAAAGTAAAGAGATTTAAGGCTTTTTTCTGATATGGAATAAATGCTGTTTCCTATGCTATATTCGCACTAAGTGGTCGGAAAGTCCTGAAATCAGCCAGAGAAAACTGGGATCCTCGTCGGAAAAACCCACCGAGGTGTGTTAATGGAACTCCTTGCCGTTTAATATGCATTAAAAAAGGTCGTACCCAGTGCCCAAGGCTCCCGCTTTACGCAGGGTCTGGGAGAGGTGAATGTCGGCTAGCCTTACCCCCATTTTATGGAGAGGCTGCTCCCAAGTCTCGAACCCGAGACCTACCGCTCATGGACGAAGGCACTTGCCATAGCAGAACAAAATGTAAATTCACCAGTTAAATGTGTGTATTAATTTCTTAATGTAGTTTATTACAAAGATTAGGAAGCGAAAACCATAGCAGTAGTGGCAGCTTCGAAAAGGGTAATGAGGGATGCACACCTACTTGGCCAACCTATGTGGCTAGGGCTTCAAACACTAAAACCCCGTACAATGCACATAAAAATAACCACCGCCAGGTAAGCAAACATGAGTTACTTTCATAAAAAATTAAAACTAAAAACATAAACTTCAAACAGGCAAAATCTGACAACCAGCACATAAATCCAAAACAAAAAATTCCACCACCAACAACATAAAAAAATTTAAAACCACAATTAAAACTAATGTTGACTGTCCTCTCCATGTTTGTGTTCCCTCTGCCGGATAAAAGTGACAAAGACAAAGCTTTCCAAAATTCTAATAACTCTAGATATTATCAATTTCCCAACAACACACATAGGTTACAGCACTAACAACATAAAAGGTTTTTAAATTGCAATCTAAACTAATGTTTTCTCTCTTCCTCTCCCTGTTCGTAAGACAGAAAGACAAAGCTTTCCAAATTCCAACGAATCCTCTCATTTCTTCCCAAAAATTATAAATCCATTTTAATCCAACAATTATCAATGCATTTCGAAACTGGAAAAAAGCAGGACATAAAACTTACCCGAAATATAATAGCAGCATTACAGGTGTTAGCAAATCTCAGATTTATTAAACGAGCAACCAAAATGCAAAATGTCATTTAGCCGGGAAAGGCCCAACCACAACTGATAGCAAAACAAAATCGTTAGGGTTTTATCCAAATTAGGAAAAATCCAAAATAAAAATTGAAAGACAAGCGTTATAAAATACACCTTAGCTGAATAACATCTGTTCCACAGTGATCTGATGACAGGCCGTGACCAAAATGGGCTGGAAATCGGCCAAAAATCAAGCCACAACCCAAAAATCTCAGATGAAGAAAAAGGACTAACACTGAATTCTTGGCCCCCCGACCGTCCATTGCATTTGGTAATTTTTTAAGCTTTATATGTAAACTTAAATTAAAATGTATATTCAAATATTAACACATGGGTAAGTATTGCTCACCTCTGCTTCTGCTACCGCCTTCTCATCTGCATCCTTAAGGAATGATCGGATGCTCTTAAGCTAACCTGCATCCTTGAAAGCTTTGCTCAAAAGCATCCAATCCTTGGTTTCACAAACATCAAAACCCATAAACAAATTCACTTAAAAATGCACAAAATAAAAACCCCAATTACTAATTAGACGAAGAATTCAACAAAATCATGAAAATTGCTTAAAAGGAATTGAATTTGAGTTGGAGACTTGAGGTATAAAAATTAAAGACCGTGGGTTTACATAGATGCAGAACGGCCATCGAAGCAAAGGCCACAAAGAAAATCCACGAAACCAAACCCGTCAATCTTTCCTAAAATGGGAGAACTCACCAGGAAACCCAAGCTTTTTCTGGGTTTCAAAATTTACCTCGAATCCGAACGGGATTCAGCTGCGAGAGGGAAGGCTAAGTTTCTGAGATGTTTTCGTTTTTGAGATAGGGAAGGCGAGCCATTCACGATACTCTATGATTTCCATTTGAGGTTGAAGATTGGAACGATCTGGATGAATTTTGGTTTTGGGATTGTAGGGTTGATTTGGATGAACGCAGGTTTTTGTTTCAATTTCAGGCGTCTGGGAACAAATGAAAAAGCTTTGTTCTGGAAACAAATGGAAAAGCCACAATGACCATCATGCGTACATCAAGGGCAAATTAGTAAATTTACTGTGCAACCCGGGAAAACAGGCTGAAGATGGTAACAGCTGGAGGGGCAAATTCGTCAAATCACTGTTAATAAACAGTGTTTGGGAATCTGAGTTTTAGTATATATGACTAGCTAGGCTGCCCGTGTGCTGCTGCGGTGCTGCGTTAAATTTTTGTGTGGTAAAAACTAAGGAGAAGCAGGAAAAAAAAAAAGAGGTGATACATTTGTTTTTCCATGTGAGATTCTTGGGGAACAATGGGATCGATTAAATTTTGGTTCTTGTGTTTTAAGACCAATTCCACCTCAAAAAATAAGAGTACATTTGTATTGATACCACAAAGATAAAAATGGATAAAGTTCTATACGTGAATGGTTACAGAGTTATGGGCTGACCTGGTTCATGAAGAAAAATAAGAAAAACTTAAATATTGACAAAAAAGATGAAGTTTTTTTTTATTCTGTAAATGACCATATCAGTATATATTGAATAAAGGTTTTTTAGAAATGCAATAAGGGAAAAAAGTTCAAAAAGAATTTAAAAATTGAGAGTGATCAATGTTATACCTTGAAGACGGCGAATAGACGCAGTTCTTTCAGATTGATTCCCATTTGGTTGTAGGAAACTGAAAAAAATTCAAATTGTAAACATTTTGCACCAAGGATTGAATATGGAGAGACACAAATACTGTTTCCAATGAATAAAAATGAGTGCAAATATAATCGTTTCAAATATGATAAGGGAGGGAAAACGACAGTTGACATATTGGGATATGATGATCAAATGTTAAGAACAATCGATAAAGGTGATTAATACAAAATTGTAGATGCTAGTGGTTGAGATTGAAACAGAGGTAAAACATACCAATGCTAAATTTGGTTTTAAAGGTTGGTAACAATCATGGAACGATGCTGGATATGATTATAGCCCATGACGAAGTTACTTTTATAATTATTTAATGGCTAACATTGCATTCATTGTATGGTTAAAGGCTCTATACGGTTTTTAGCACCAATTAAGTTTGGTTCAAATGCATAAAGAACGAAAATAAAATGTTGGGGTTAACATTAAACAAACAGTTTAAAACCAAAGATATCACTTGAGAATAGATTGGGCGATCAAATTCATCCAACAAAAATCAGACCCCAAAATCCAAATGGATCTAGCCCCAGAGGAGCTCCAATTTCTCACCATTCCAGGTATACTCAGAGAATATTCATTACATACAAATTAGAAAATAAAAATAAATTAAAAAAAACAGAAAAAAGAGAAATTCAATAATCACCAAAGAGAAATTCCTCATGCATGAAATAAAGAAATTAAACAAAAAAATACCCAAAGAAAAGGTTACCTCATACTTCCAGTTCCAGTCTTCGAGAGCCATTTTTGGGATTTTTTTTATAGAGAAAGTGGAATTAGAAAGAGTGGAATGAGAGAGACTCCCCAGTTGCCCAGATTTTCCAGCTTCTTTCCCTTCCAGATGACCAACGCGTAAAGAAACCCCAAGAGAGCACCACAACTGTCAACAAAACAAAATCATTAGGGTTTCATCGAAACAAACAAAAAATCCAAGATAAAAAATGAAAGACAATCATTATAAAATATACCTTATATAGCTGAATAAGAGCTGTTCCACAGCGATCTAGAACATGCCGCCCCCAAACTGGGCTGGAAATCGGCCAAAAATCCGACCACAACCCGGAAATCCTAGACGGATAAAATGGCAAACACTGCGAATTCTTGCCTCGATCACAACTTTGGAAACCCTGGAAACCAATTCTATTAGTTTCCACACAAAAAAAAAAAAAAACCCTAGGTTTAAATAGATGAAAAACGGCCTCGCAAGCACAAACCACAAAGAAAATCCCTTAAAAACGAAAATCAGGAACTCTTTCCACGAAACAGAGAACAGAACACCAAAGAGAATCAGAGGATTCGAAAAAACAACTGGCAAAACGAAAAGGGAAGACCGCAAATTAGGAAAGGCACTGAAGCAACAACAGCCCAAGCGGCTAGGAAGACTCCGAAGTCGAAGGAATAAGGATGGGCGACGCGTGGAAAACAGGAGCGAAAGGTCTCTTCAGCGCACCAAGCAGGCGAGACAAACAAAAACAAAACAGAGAAGCGAGGGCATTTCCGCCCTTTTACTATTTCTGAACAGAGCCATCATCAACTGAGTTTTAGTATATATAATAATGTGTCCCTTAATTTACGTGACTTTATGGAGCAACTGCATGGGAAATATGTATACTGATATCAAAATGGGATCTGCTTGCGCGATGTGGTCACGTCATGGGTATTCATCCTTTATTAAATTAAATGAAGGGAGAGATGAGTGGGACGGAGCGTTTGAGACTCCAAGTTTGGTAAAGAGATTGAAAATTTAGGGTTTTTAATTATTTTTTAAAATTTTACATATATTAAATTAAATAAGTAAATAAATACCCGTTATAAATGCAGGTAATACCTATAAGCAATGGATACCCATTATAATCGCGGGTAATACTCATAACTGGCCATTTAAATTTCACGGTTAAACGGTTATACCCATAATGTCACATCCCGGCTCGGGCCTCCACCACATTCCTAGAACAACCTCCGTCGTAGCACGATATTGTCTGCTTTGAGCTCCGACCACACCCTCACGGTTTTGTTTCTAGAAACTCACACGAGAACTTTGAGCTCTGATCACACCCTCACGGTTTTGTTTCTAGAAACTCACACGAGAACTTCTCAATGGGTCACTCAACATGGGATTGTTCTCATGCTAACTCGCTTAACTTCAGAGTTCCAATGGAACCCGAAGCTAGTGAGTTCCCAAAATGTCTTGTGCTAGGTAGAAATGGGAATATACATATAAGGCTTACACGATCCTCACCCTTGGGCGATGTGGGATGTTACACATAACCGTTTGTTTGTCTAAACGGTTATCCATAACCGTAACCGTGAACTTTAAATAGGAAGGTAACTGCGGTTACGCAAACTCATGGGTATTTTACCCATCCCTAATTGTGGCCCTACCTTTTCACTTTATAAAATGAAACGGTAGCATTTCACTCTTCCAGTTTGAGAGTTTTAACGAAACACCCCCCGGTACTATCATTCTTAACGAAAAATGACATTTTTACCTTTCCTGGTAGTATTCACTTACACCTTTATTTATCTATTTTCATTAAAACTAAAGTTTTTAAAGACTTTTCGTTAGTTTTCCTTAGTTTTTATGCAATAATGGATCAAAACATAATAATGGAAAATAAAAATGGGCCCAAATTAATGTTCAGCTATGTCCAATGTAAACAAAAGTACATGCATGGAGTAAAGTAGAATTCACGGTAAGATCATTGGGGAAGTACCTCTTAGGATGACTCCCATACAATTCTTACGAGAGCTGAAAAAACGTCTACGGATAAAGCATCGTATCCATGTAACTGCTTACCAACTACGCTTCACAAGCAATTACAGGTTTAGGAATGTCACTCGGCTTGCACACAACCCCGCCCAATTATGTTATAGAGGAATTGAACATATTGATGGGTTGCTTATTCAGAGCCAGCAACTGGCTGTTAGATTTTGTCCCACAATTAGAAGTAAATGTTTGCTTAAAAATAGATAAATTGTTTGATAATCAATTTCGTTTTCAATTTTCATTTCTTATTTTCATTTTTTTTAAAACTAAAAATTGAAATCTTAATTAGTAACTATTTTCAATTTTTAGTTTTCAAGAAAAATGAAAACAAAAAAAAACTAAAAAAAAACTATTTTCTTGAGTTTTCAAAATTTGATCATGAGTTTTCAATTTTTGGTTTTCAGTTTTCATTTTTTGTAAAATTGAAAACTGAAAGTAGTTAACAAACAATATTTCAGTTTCAAAAAAAAGTGAAAACGAAAAAATAAAAACAAAATAATCATCAAACAGCCCCTTAATATCGTTGGATTCAACATTTCCTACTTTTCACTCCTCATTTATAATTTTACACCAAATTTCTTATATGACTACTAGATATAAAAAAAAAAAACCGACCGTATCACATTCATTTACTTTGGCTCTAGCGGCTTTGTAGAGATTCAGACTCCAAAGCCAAATGGAAACACTAATCGTTCACATCCAGGTACTATGTACATAGGCAAATTTTCTCTTCCGACTAATATAAAATTCCATGTGACATTACTCAGGCGGAGTAGCGGAACGCTTGAACGGGTGACGGAGGTGGTGGTTCGGGAACGTTAATAAGGTGGTGCCTTCCTATATATATTTTTTGTGGGTATCGATTTAAATACTTGCAAGAGAACAGAAAATTGTCGTATGAACCATTTGTATTTAAAACTCACAAAACTAATATAAATAAATTGTATTTAAAACCGATTCTTAGCTGACTATTTAAAACAAGATTTGAAATTGTGAAAATAAAAGAAACAAAATATAAAAGAATTGAAATTGGTTTTAGTAAAAACTCGGCGGCAAAGTGAAAATTAAATAGTTTTAAAGAAAAAAAAATCATTCATATGCAATTCTACCAATTACGTGTGCAAACTATGAAGGTTAGGCTTTTCTAATGCATATTCTACTTGTGACATTTAAGTTAGAACGTATATCAAACATGCAATCCGTCTGTGATATTTATATCAAATATGAGCATGCAAGACTCATTAAGCTTTGTGAATTTTTTTTTTTTTTTTGAAAATCATGCAACACTTACGACATGGCATTCGCCTTAAGTGAAATTACAATTATCAATCATAAGAAACCCTACTCAATTTCAGAATGATGTTCTAACAAAAGTTGCATCGAATTACTTGTCTAAACATCCTAATGGTGATCAAGTATTAAGACATATAGATAGTTTAAACATGATGATTAATAATTCAAAGCAATATGTCATAAGCAAATTGAAAATAAACTACATATTCATACTAAAGATCGTGGATCCGCTCTAGCAAAAGGAATTAGTTATGCATATTTATAATTAAAAAATAAAAATATTATTAAGAAGAAAAGATAGAAAACACCCTTGTAACAAACCGTCAAGAGCTCCTAAGCCTAGAAAAAGACTCAAACTAAATATATATAGTGTGCACAAATTATCTAAATTAGGCATCCCAACAAAATTGGAAACCCAATTAAAATAATAAACTAGGAAATACAATCCTATCCTAACTTGGACAATTTGGGCAGCCAAATATTCAACACATTTCCTAGTCGAATATGCTAAAATCAGGGATGCCAGGTGGCGTTAGAAAGATAAAAATGTCCCTTACATTTTATAAAAAGGACTTTCCTAAAAAAACGTCATCTTGAATTACTTATGGCCCAAACAAAAACAAAAAGTCAAGTTGCCAACATTGCATGATCAGCCTTCTTTTATTTGCTACAGTCAAACAGCTGGGAAATAAATTATGAAACTTCGACATAATCATCTTGAAAGACGCATGAATCTACTCCAAAAAATGTATCAAAATTCTCACAAAATAACAAATAAATTATGACTAAAATTAGGTTAAAAATATAGAATAATATCGACTCATCACCTATCGATTGAAATCTTTGCTTACTAAATTGGATGTGTCCTTTTTGTTTCTTTGGTTGAAATTTGATGTTCTTGGAATTCAATTTCATTGGTGAATGTTATTAGAATTCAATTATATCCATCGGTCATCTTGCTTGAATATTATGGCTTAATTTTCTGTTTCTTAGTTTCTTGGTTGGTTGCTTGGTTTGTTCCATTTTTTAAGCAAACCTTGACGGTACAAGAGAAATTTTATTGAATTAGATAAAGAAGTTACACTTTGTTAAGATGACATAAACCTTAGCGCATAATATAAAAAGAAATTATAAAGTAAAAATACGAGAAAAGAGGGGGAGACATCAACTAAACTTTTATTAAAAAAACAAATAAAAATACAAGAAAAGAAGGACGGAGGGGGCCGCGGGATGGGGGTAGGGGGGCATCAAGTCTGATCGTACGGAGTGTGTATTACATTCCTATCAGGTGCAGGTGGCTGCGGCCCACCGTATGATCTTAGGATGCGGCGAACGGGCACTTTCGTGCTCAAAATATCACTTTGACATTCAAAGCAACCTTGTTCAATTATATGAGAAAAACACAAGGAGCAAGAAATTAGTTCCCAAATAATAAAATTGGTAAAAACTAAGTCGATTTACGTAGCTAATGCTAATGCTTGGAGATCTAACAAAAGGAAGATAATTATTAGTTATACCATGAGGAAGTAGTCCACAAGTTGCTTGTAAATCCCCCATCAGAAGCAACAGTATTGTTGTAATTGCCACCAGCTTTGCTGAAGAACCATTCATCATCGGAAGCAGAAACAATAACTTCGAAACTCCTATCACCACAACTTGGAGATGAATGATAGTGCAAAGGGAAAGCAAGATTTATAGACTTTAACTTGCAGGGGATTGGACAATATTATATGCTTCTGTTTCTATTTATTTTTTTTTGGTCAATATGTGCTTGTGTTTCTTATTGGACTTTCAAAGGATTGACCCCTAAGTCATCCGCTAATGTAAAATAAATGGCAAAATGAATCAAATATGAAATGGACCATCGAAAGATAAAAAGACGCAATGGCATTTTGCATATTCGAGCTCTGATTTAGGCCCGTGATAACTATTCGAAAAGGAAAATTGCACCATGAGCCCAACACACTGCTTAGGCTGTGATGTATGATGGATTTTGGCCATCGGGGTCATTTCAGCCTCCGAAACAATGTTTAAAGTTTCGTAATAAAAATCGGACTCTTTGTTTGTCGTTCGATTAATGTTTAACTAATGTTGTTTTAATTATTAGAAGTCATTTGAGTTGTTTCTAACATTTGTAATCTTTATTTAAGTCATTTGGATGTATCAATGACAATCATTCAAGAATTAATCAAACAAAACACTTTGGGATTTCTCTCAAATTTTATGATGGATTCTAGATTTTGTTCTGCAATGAATTACGTTGGTAACCCTTTCATCGCTTTATGCTATGTCATCCACTCTTTTCATTTATTCTCTGCTATACAAGAGATTTTTCATTTGTTCATTAAAAATAGTGTAATTTTAAACAAGTAACA